GTGACTTGTGTAAACTTTGAATTATCACTCTTGTGAGTATTTTATTCACCAACTAAAAAAGATCAATTATGTGAACTTTTGAGAATTGCTCTTTTTAAACTGGACATGCGAAAGGAACAAATAATCTCAAGGAACCCTGTGTCCAAGAACACAACGTTGTCTGCTTTACACTCTGATAAATTTTGTCCAAAAACTGCCGAAAGTTGATAGGATACTCAAAGAGAATACGAATTATTCAAAGATCTAGTCTTCTAACGAGACTTAACAAACGTTATGAAAGTCCTTCGAGGTAACAGAAGGCCTCGACGGAGCGAATATGTTGCGCTCATCTTTCCCAAGGATGTTTACACCGATAACTCTATCGAGCGACAAGACCAGCCATTTTTACTTCTATTTTTGCATCTGCCTGGGATTTTAGAAAAAGTGGTATTTTCAAACATACACTTACATGCCGTGTTCTAAACAATTTTGGCCGACAAAAATTGTTATTTCATTTTAAGCAACATGTCTGCGAAAAACCGCCCTGAAATCTCTAACTGTTTACCCGCGAGATTTGGGGTGGCAATCAAAACGCCTCTTTTGTCGCGCGATAAATTGTGAGACAAGAATCGACCCTGGCCATAAATGATCCGCTCAAACTCTTCGGTGTTAGCTTTCAAACAAGACTCGAGAACACAAAGTGTATAACTTACTTTAATGGTTTCCACCCATTCCGGTTTGCCGCTATGGTAGAAAATAACCGAACGATACTGACTGACAAGTTCCTCTCCTGCCCCAATACTGATAACATTCTGTAACACAATAATTAAAAAAACATTATCTAAACATCATTAAATACTTTGTAGGAGCCCATTAATACCTGTTTCATAGTATTGTTGACGAGGTTTATCATGTATAGATTTCAGTGACTGACTACCACACACCTATAGGTATTATAGCCATAAACACTCTTTTATACAGTGATGTGAATACTAGCGCGCTGTGATTGGTCGTTGCCCATGAGCTATTAGAGTACAGATACATGGATGACGGCACGGGAAACTTGTTTTCTTTGCTTTCTTCATCATGGCGCGCGGTTCTGAAAATATTTGTAAGATTATTTCAGTGACACACTCGCCTGCAGCTTGTGTGCCACTAGTTTTTTTTTTTTTTAAACACATTTTGACGTCATCTGTGATCGATTACTAAAGAGATGCACGGCAACACGGAATCTAATGTGGAGAGTACCGCGGAATGGACCCCCCTCGCTGTTTTTCCCGCTCACTTTTCTTTGCGTCGTTCCCGCTATCTTAACGCCTGGAACAGGGTGGTACAAGGCAAGAAAAGACTTTGGACACACAACATGATAAGAATCAAACTGACTCCGCCCTCCCTTATTGAACAAAACCGGATGGACTCCCTGTAAATAATACCAAAAATAAGAACGTGAAACTGAATTTCTCTTACTTCAAGAACTTTGCCATCATCAGACAAAACTTCCATTGTAACCTCGATGTTTTTATTTGCTGTTTTTCTACCTATTAAACAAATATATTTACCTTAAGCAACACATTACTCACGCGTACAGCAGCTAAGCAAGTTTATCACAACAAAAAAGTCATTTGCACAAGAAAAGAGTCCAACTCTCAAAGGACTGGTTTAGGACCACCATAGTGCACGTGACGTCATGTGAAAGGGTGTATTGGGCAAAAGGGGCAAATAACCACTAGATCTTTCTTTTTTGCTTCTGTCCAATTCGAATCTGGGGTCAGACAGTCTTTTGAAATACTGAGTTTGTTTTCTACTCACTCGACAAGCCATCGCTCCCTGTTTAGTGTTGTGGAATCTGGAATCCTGGGATTTGGAATCCGGGATTGTTCAGGTCTAGGGATTCAATATCCCCCTAACGACTGGAATCCGGAATCCAGAGCGAGGGATTCAGGATCCAAGTTTGTCTTGGATTACCTTACGCGGGGTTGATGCCTAGCAAAAAATATGAAACGATGCTGAACTACGAGTCCTGTCCCAAGGTGAAAGGAGCTGCGTTCTTTTTATAATGGGCCTTCGTCTTTGCGCGCATCCTAAGAAAACACTTACAAAAATTTGCTTTTATTATTCTTACCTCTTTCAAATTCGCCCGAGTGTAGAGTCAGATAAAGATCATTCCTAAGGTCACCTAGTAAAAGATGTTAAGAAACAGTTAAAAGAATTGTTGAGTCCAACATTTTGCCGAGACCTGAGTTTCAAAATCCCCTTTGACGTCTTCACTACTAACAGTCGCAAATCTGTAGACTGAGGAACCACCATCTTTGAAAGCAGAGGAATTATGGGTGAGACCTTGTCTAGTCCTTAGGACTCATTATTCCGCGCGGCCAATGTATTTCGGGTCACGTGATCCGTTCGCCTCGGATGCGTCACCAAAGTGAATTGACCGAGAGGGCCTGGGAAAACGCCATACAGGGACTACGTAAGGTGAGGGCATGCAAAAGGAGAAAGGTCAAAGTTGGGGGGAAGGGTAAGGCAAGAGCGGTCAAGCACAACTAATGGCTGTCTCTCGTTTTCATAACCTTTTCTCTTTTCTTGGCCCTAACCCCTTGTCTTGCACCCTATGACTCGCAAGTGCCCCAGAACTTATTCTAAAAGGCGAATTCTAGGGCCTTCTACTGCATCCTCAAAAAAGCAGGGGGGGCGGGGAAGGTGTAAACGTCCCCTTTTCAAAATCGTTCGCTCCTGGGGACTGAAAACTCTCGCTTTAAGATAAAAGAAGCGCTAATTGGTCAAAATCAGTTGCAGTCAAGAAAAAGCATAACTACCCAAAACGTTGTTTTCATATTAAATTCAACGTATCACTGACATCATTTGGTCATCTCAGTTTACTGAAAGGCTCAACTATAAGAAGACACTAACGTGATAGTTACCTGGCATAATGACTTCAGGAAAACCAAGTTTGCGAGCAATGCATGTCTGCTTTGTTACCAGAAGTGGATGTTCCTCTCGTATCTGTCAAAAAAGACAATTACAGTAGAATCACGATTTTTTTTTTAAAAAAAACCTAAATGTTTACGAAACCGCTGACTAACTTCTTTCTAGCAATCTTACACACCCGTTTTTGAAAAGGTTGAAACTACTATGAGGTGAAATTGCCTATCAAAAGCGCTTCGTTTTCCACAGATAACAGCCGAACATCAAGATTGTCCATTTTTTTAGCGTATTTCTAACTATAAAAACTTTATCTCAAAATATCTTGATAACGCTCTAACAGATTTCCCTTAAACTTCACGAACATCGAGGCCGCTATTGGAGGAAAAAGCTCCCGTGGACGATTTTGGAAGAATAGTTCCCAGTGCCGTGAAATATTACTGCAAGTAAAGTAGGTAATAGCGTCATTTCGTTGCTATGATAACTCCGATGTCATTGCAACCCTGATCATAACAAACTTTCATCTTTATCTAATACAACTGTGGTACGTAGTTTATACTCAAACTTGGGAGGCATTGACCCTGAAAAACTGTATCGAGCAACCTTAAAGGCGCAATGTCACAGTAAATTTCCCATATTTTTTTCTTTCAACGAAAGAAAAGTTATGTGAACAAAAGTGGCCCAATTATTTCAAGCTGCAATCCATTCTTATCTTGGTCATCGAAAGCAGAAAAGAAAAAAGAAAATTGTGGTTTAGTTAGAATATTGGACATATTACGTATAGGTAATCATACGACTTCGAATTCAATTTGAGATTTACTAGCAAGAGTGTGTTTTTCAAAAAGTATCATGGCTTTCGAAAAACACACCAGTGCAAATACATTCCAATTTAAACGAAAAAAATCCGTAGGGTTACCCATTAATAACATAAATGAAAAAAATTACCGGCCAAAATTAGTGGAACCCAATAGACCCTAGAAACTGCTGCCCCCTCATAAGAGGAGCACATCTTTGGCTATTTTAAGGTTGCACGTAACTTGTGGCACCTGATTGGTTTTCATTTATTTCTATTGTTTATCAGCCAATCACAATACTCCATTCTCTGAGATATTTCCATTTCATATTCTTACTTTTGCATTAAATTTCCTCGTTTCTGCACGGAGTTTACTCTTAGCCAATTAGATTCAAGAAATGTTTCCATGTATATTATTACGACTAATGATTCAAAAGTGCCTTTCCCTTTTAGTTAAGACGACCAAAAATACAGACATGAAATCCTCACCTGCTCAACATCTCCCGAAAGAAGCTTTAATGAAATATGAATGCCTATGAGTAGAAAAGCGATGGTAAAACATAACAAAACTGAAGCGCGCGCTCTGATTCTTCCACTACCTTTCCTCATCATGGGGTGAACGCTGACAAAAGATAGCGTGGACTAAAAGTAGATCGTTTTCATTTTATGCCACTATAACATGTTTTTACAAACCCTTCGGTTAGTATCAGAAAGTGTACAAAAATCAAACAAATAGGTTAAGGTTACAACCGACTTCGTGATGCAAACTACTCATTCAGTCGCCTGAGTGCACAGCTCGCCTACTTATTTCCATTGTTGCGTAAGTCCCTTTTCAACTTTGCATCTTGCAGTTGCTGAACATAAATGATTCATTTTCTACCCTCGCTCAAACATATTTAACAAGAACCAACATGTCAAATAGCCTACTGGGCATAACAACTTTCAACATGCAATGATACACTGTGATGAACACGAAATGCACCATTTATTAGTCAACAAATGAAACAGTGTGACCACACCCTTAAAGGTAGTTTTGCCCCTCAGTCCCTTTCCACCTCTGTTCTCTATAATCATTTGATATTGTAACATCGTAATTTACCTTGTCCAGATTTATTTCCCTCTGACGGCTGTGCAATCATTCTCTTTATCCAAGAGTCAAATGACTGATTCTCTGGAATTCTGAAACACGAGAAGGTTGGTCATCAAAATGCCACGTTACCCCTGACATCGTTGCCTCGATTTTCTTGAAAACATTCGCCACGCTGTTTCTCGGCAATTTCTGAATATGAGCGCATGTTTTTCGCTTGCAAAAATGCTATTGATATGCGATTGCCATTTCATCTTCGCATAACGGTAGCTGTAAACTCTTTCGCCCTTTTCTTGAGTTCCGCAATCATGCCAAAACAATTAAGCTGCTGCGCGATTGTCTTACGTGACGTAAATCGTGAATAATTTTTAATATACAATCATTGATGTAAGAGTGCTGACGTCAATGACAGTATAATCTAAACATCTTCCAAATTTGCTCAGCGCCAGCTGGTTATGAAGAATTAGAGAGGGATAGTGTACAGTTGAGGTGTGCTAAACTCTGCTATTTGATGAACAGATATACTGTATCGCCGTATTAGCGTCTTGGGACAGCAGAATTCAAATACAAGGTACTTGTAGTAGCTTAAGCGCGCTGAGTGGACTACACTTTGGACAGTTTTGCGCCAACATTTATGCGTTCCACCATTTAGTCGTACTCATTTACATCAACAACCAACATGATCAGCGTGTATAATTTTGTTTGAGGGGAGGGCACAGCTGAACACAGGCTATCGCGCCGTTGAATGAGATTACGTAAATTTTCAATCTATGTTTTAATCAAAATCAAATTTCCGGAGTTAATCATCGTTTTTACTTACGGTAGCAGTTGAAGAAAATGTTCCTTGTCCTCGTCATACTGAGCAGTGCCATTAAATAAGTCGCCAATGAAAAACACTGAAAACCAGACAATTCAGTTTTATAACAATAATGAAGACAGGAGGAAAAAAGGTAAAATTCTTAGCAGTTCCTTTGGGGTTTTAATCAATTCCATTGCTAAAGTTACCTTGTGACAAAATTACCGATACTAAAAGCTTTGTTAAAGGTGGTATTACACGGGACGATTCGCAAAGACGATTTTTTTGCGGAACACAGCATTGTAATGTTGGAACAATGTTGCAACCATTTGAATCAATGTCGCAGCAATGTTGCAACGTCGTGTTTCGCTAAAAATAGTTGTTGCGAATCGTCCCGTGTAACATCACCTAAGGGACAACTCTAATAGGTGGACACTTCTTCATGATCCCAGTCACAAAAAAACGCTTTGTTATTAAACTTCCTCAGCCAGACATCTCTATTATTGGTCACTTTGAAGTATACCGTGAGAGTTGGTCGGTGTTGTGTTGACTTGCACTATGGGATTGTTTATTTAGATGGGGCGGGAATTTTGATCCAGTTTCCCGCGCAACTTCGTAATAGCCAGTTAACGAGGTGATAGCGTCCTGGCCAATAGCTGACAGGCACGTCCCTATAAAAGATCTCGGAAACAAATGCGTGACGCATTTCGGTTCCAGTTCCATCCTCGTTTCTAAAGTTGCGAGTGCGGTCACATTTTTTCCCTCAAATATATCAAATATAGTTGAAGAACGTCATAATGTAATTGGAGGAGTAACCGTTGCTCTGTAACTTACAGCCAATTCCAAATGGTCTTCGAAGATTATGAGTCAATTTTTTGCTGGGTGTCTCCTTTATATCCATTCGGCCTAAAACAATTTAAAAAGTTTAATGACCATACAAGCTCTGCTGAGATCCTACAATCTTCAAAGACAAAAGAATGCTTTGTTTTACTATAACATCCAATAACAAAACAGGAAACGTCAACAAGTGATAAAAAAAAGACTGACCAACTCTAACGATCTGGCAGACGATATATACTTGTTCTCTTTTCAGGTCTTTTGCTCCAAGATCCTGAGGTCAAACGTGAAAAAAAAGCACAATACGTTGATTTAAAAGAAAACGAATCAACAGTCATCGTTGTCTTAGTTTTTGCGTGATACCTACACGAAGTAAATTGACTTTTGGCAGTTTTTGACGTTGTTTTAAACATTAGACATCCCTGCAAAACCGTGTTGGAGTCTGTAGAGTGTTGTTTGTCATCGGGTAGCCTGCAAAGTAGGCGTATTTTGCAGCGCGATTGATGATTTTTTTTTTTCGGGAATAATGCTATCCCGCCATCTTGGACGTTAAAACTGATTTCAAGAGAGAGGTTGATGGGTCTAAAATAGAAGAGGGGAGAGGGATCGGTCTAAAATATGGCGGGGGGAGTCTCTCCTTTTTCTTCCCCATTTCCATTTCCCCCCTCTCTCGTAGTCCTTTTTTTTTTTTCTTTCAAGATGGCGGCCACGATCAATGTACCTGTGAGTTTCCGTTAAGAAACGCCAGTCATCGGAAGAGTCGACTTAGGTCCGAGCGAAACGTAGCCTGCGAGAGCAGACGCCTTTTTCGGCCTTTGTTTCACCCGCCGACAGCGGAAAAAAGCAGTCTGCTCTGGCAGGCTAGGCGAAACGCCTACGGGGAAATCGACTTTGGGACGAAACGACCAAAATTCTAACAAAACACTTACAGTAAACAGGACTGTGAGGTTGTTGAGCCTATCAATATCTTTTGGCATCCCTTTTCTATCCCATGCAACAAGATACTGCTCACTGTCAGTAGAAAATTGCAAACACAAAGACATCACCAAATGTTTCGTACATAATAAATTTTTCTTCAAGGCCCGAAGCCGCGAGAGGCGAGAAACGAGGGCGGTTCCACACGCATCCGGGATATTTAAGAAAAAGATATTTATCCGTTGTACACGCATCCCGTCATTTTTGGGTCCAAACCTTGTAGGACACGCAAACAGTTAACGGCCATTTTGGGCACCAAAACCCAGGTTTTTGAAAACGGACCTCAGAGTGGATTTTGTTTTTGTTAATTAAACACCGCAGATTGCCTTTTTCGTGTGGACGGACTAAAACGGCAGTTTCCAAATACGAAGATGTTAGTTTGTACATCATACAGCGCACGGTCTGTAAATGCTGGTTTTCACTAGCGACGGAGTCGGAGTAGTAATCAGAAGCGTAGAGCTTATGATCTAGTGACAACAGCATTCCGATTACGCTTACGGCTTCGTCGCTTACGTTCCGCTTATGATCAAGTGAAAACCTGATTGTCGGAGTCGAAAGCTGAAACGGAAGAACTAAACCAATCACAAAGCGTAGGAACGTACATATTGATTGGTTTATCCTTCCACTTCTGCTTCCCACTCCGACAGCCTGGTTTTCACTAGATCATAAGCGGAACGTAAGCGACCGAGTCGTAAGCGGAGTCGGAAGAAAACGGAAATGTTCTGATTCTTCTGACTCCGATTCCGCTCTTATGACCCCGCTCTCGACTCCGACTCCGTGTTATTTGCATCGTCTTGGCGTTTTAGTGTGGATACGCAAAACGATTTGAATACGCTTGTTTTGAAAACGTAGAAAAAAACCTCCATTTTAAAAAATATCTGGATACGCGCGTTTGGACTAGGCCAAGGAAAATACGAACGAACACGTCAAAAGGGTTTAATAAACCTATTTCATTTAATGTTGCCCACGTTTAAATGCAGGGAAGCACGTTTTTGCTACGAGTCAACGTGGAGTACTGTAAAGATTGTTTCTAAGGGAAGCAATCCAATGGCAAGGTCTACAGGTCCAAATTTCGAAGGGTTAACCGTTTGTCAACCAAGCTCTATAGACAGCTCTAAAATGAGTATAAGTATGACAAAAATGAAAAATTGGCGTCGTTTAGAAATATATTAGAAAGAAGTGGGCCCCGAATGGAACCCTGCGGTACACCTTACTTTACAAAATTCCAGTCTGACCAGTTACCATAAATTTTGACATACCAGCTTTGTTCAATTAAGGAAATTGTAATGGTTGATCATCCTCAAAGCCGCTTTTCTTTCGATGGTAATGGCTTTTTTGTTTCACCTTGTTCTTATGTCTTCACATGTTTTAAAAGCTTTTCAAATCGGATATATAAAGATTTGAGACACCGATGGTAATCCAGCAACCCTTAGAGTCTACTCTTGTGCTCTCCAGTGTTGCTGTTGTTGGTGTGGTCCAGTTTTGTTTTCATGTGCTTTGTAAGAACACTGTTTTTCAGAGTATGCGGTGGTCCTCCTGATCCCGCATTCTCGCTGCTTTTTCACGACAATTCCTCACCCCGAACTTCTGTAATCTCCACCCAGAATACCGTTTTCTTTCCCAAGACCGCATCCCGAGCTAAGATTTCAGCGAATCCCGCTTCCCGAGCAGCGGTCAAATCCCGTATCCCGTCAAGAATTTTTGCAGTTTCCCGAATCCGCACTATATTTAGGTCAAATCCCGGATCCCGAAAATACCTTTTCAGTTCCCTGATACACATGTACTGGTACCTTATAAAGCGCTCCTCCTTGGCATCGTAAAGTGACAAGAACACCTGTGCGTCATCTGTTGTAATGCACACTACAAGTTTGATGTTTGCATAAACACTGTGTGTTGTATAAAATGCAACTTCTTTCTTGGGCGTTTCAATTCTTGACTGAAAGAAAAAAAATATGATAAAAAAAATACGTTAGATTGTAGCTTACCGTATCATTAACAGGAATAACCCGTTCAAAACTGGACATTTTGCCGAAAGAACTAGAAATTTGAGCAGTTTTCTGGACACCATCTGTAGCTAAAAAGTGTTTACAAATAGAAGAGCACTACGGTAACTATAGTTCCTGATACCAAATTACAGCTTTCAAAGTTTCAAGTTCAGCCAAAACTTTTTGAAAGATGAATGAGGATTATATACAGTATCTACACTATATACTGGTAAACAAGAATTTCATTCGCATTTGCTAGTAAAACTTAGAAAGATTTTTTTTGGCATTTTCACATGGGCTGATTGAATGAAGATGCCAAACATGTGGGTGCAAGTTGAAAGATCTCGTCCCCCTGCATAAGTCAGTAATCAAAGTAATCTATGACCATTAAAATTGGAGATGACAGAAGAGATACAATGGAGATACATCACTGGAGGTTGTGTAAGGTTGGAGTGTATTAATGTCAAAGAATTAAAAATGGACTTTTTAAGCCCAAACTTTTGAATTGGTTGAGGGGTCCAAAACTGAATACAGTAAATGTATCGACGGCAACTTTGACAATACGGAAGACAAAACCTCCTTGTGGAATATGAAGTGCAGTGGTCATTTTAGTTCGACATTTTTTTGTTACTTCCTTTTTTTTCTTTCTCTTATCTCTAGAGAGCAAATAAAAAAATGCCTCCTAAGTAATTAATATAACTTATCATTATATTAGTATTCCTTGATAATGCATTGTAATTGATGTAAATTGTGGTAAATTCGCAAATACATAAATTTATTTATTAATTTATAGTTTTATCATCCTTAAACATGCAGTGGTATTGAAGAGAGATTTTCTCTTTAATTAACATATATGTTTAAAAAATAACTTACTGTTGTCTTTATTCTATTGGAAGTTGTTACATGCTGGAAGAAAATGCAAAAACGTAATTTTAAATGAAGCACCTAAAAATGATAAGATCTGATAACAGTACTTTACTATAAATAGTAGTAATAGTTCTAGAAGGCGATGAAAGATGGTAGTACTACTACAAGCATGCACATCTTTGTACATGCAAAACACAAATTGCATTGCCTCCTTTCTTTCAACTTATGCAGTGTGCTGTTGCAAGCCAAACCAAACAAGTTTCAGAGAACCTACAGTTATTGTCAGTAGTCTTGAAATTCCCAACTACCGCACCCTTACTGGAAATCAATTTGCAGTAACTATCACTACGTCTTCTGATAACATGAGGGACCACGGCACGAGGTTGGTGCCATACAATGTAAGTCCATTGAAGCTGCGGACCCATGGCTAGTGGATTTTGCTATTGGACTAGTGGATTCTGTTCTTACCTTGCCCAATGGGCAAAAGACTGAGTTTTTAGGAGGAGCTCAAATTACAGAAGAAATGCTATCAATCTTGCTTGGAAAAAAAGTTTGGGGGTTAGTCAAAAAGACTTTTGGGCTAGTACAATGTACATGCTGGCTACAGCTTGCCCTAAGGACAAGTAGTTAAACTGACTTTGGTCACACAGGTTTTTTATGACAATGTACAGATACAGATAGTTTCTTACTTATTTATATTAACCTTACCCTTCTATACAGTTCTATTACGCCTGTTGAATCAGGGTCTATGATGTTGGCCTCAGGGTCCCGAACAACAAGATCCAAGCCTAATGTCCTACAAGTATAAATACACACACCCACAAGGCATTGACTCATTTAATTCTCCCTGGTCCAAAATCAGCAAAACTTACCTTGTTCAAAAAAAAAAAATCATATCTCAGCAGGTATTTACAGCAGCATGGAAAGCTACATGTATACCTTTTTTGAAAGGGCAGGAAATATATTTTGCGGAAAAAAATATTTTACTTCATAGCGACCCATAATATTTCACGAAAAAATTGACTAAGATTGTTTTTTTATTAAAATTATGCAATCATTTTGATTGAAAAAGCAATTTTTGCAGAGTAATGTTTAGCTTGAGGAAAAAGCTAAGAAGAGAAGTTTTTCTTTGATGTCTGATCAAAACAATCCGCTTATGTGCCGCAGATAGAGGGACACACAGAATTTACTACAAATTTTTCGCGACACCATCAGGTTATGAAGATTACCTAAATACCTCATTTGCATACCAGCTCACACTGTATATGTTAGGATTCCTGTGCACTAGGCCCAGTCTGCGCCGAGGTTTTGTCATTCGACACTTGGTCAGCCCCGGCATACATGTGCTTTTATGGCTTGCTATTTTCGCATTTATTTTTCGGATAAGGATCGTTTGACTTGACTCAAATCGAAGGAATAGAACATTACGGAATCATTACGGATATTGCAGCAATTTTCAAGGTTATGAACACGGACACTTGCTTGTTTGTAAGGATTTCTTGTACGGTATTGTATTCGAACAGTGTGCTGAGCGTAGTTGATCGGATCGAATAAAACGTGGAATTGACACTGAATTGACGGCTGTTACCGTTTGACCTACAAGCGAATCACATGGAAGGAGACAAGGAAGAAGATTTACAAAGGAAAACGGAGTTCCCTGATGAAGAAAGGCTTTGCACTTGGCGCGAAGTCGATGTGGATCTCGATACAATCTGCTCGTCACCTCGGGCGATATCGGCGCTGACCGGTGTTTTGGCTCAAGAAACTCACATGGACGTGCGAAAACGGATTCCTACAGAAAAGGGTAAGCAATTTGAGACTCAAAAGATGAAGGAAAATCGGAAAACTGCACTTGCTAATTTAACGAGGCAGATGAACTTAATCTCACCTTTGTTAACGGATTTTGAGAACGAAAAACAAGTGCGTACGGAAGTTGTTCATTTAGATCAGCTGTTTGTTGAAGTGCCAGAAGCACATGACGCATATCTCAAGGCCTCAGATGATGATGATGAAATTAAATTAGCTCTTGAATGGTTTGGCACTCGTGAAAAGGATGTGCTCCAGCTAAAGTAAAGGATTGTTGGCTTTTTGAATGATGCAGATAAGCTACGTGGTGATTTACGTGATACACACTCAGTGAAATGTAAGTCATCTCGTCGCTCAAGGCACTCCCTCTCCTCGGTAACATCTTCTAAGTTTAAGTTAGTTGAAGGGAAAGCTAAAGCTGCAGCGTTAAAGGTTAACGAATCGTTTCTAAAACAGAAACCAGCACTAAGAATGGCTGCTGAAGAGCTTGAAAATAGACAGCATATCGCAGAGGCAAAGGCAGAAGAAAAGACTTATGAGAAATTCGAGGAGGAACAAACATTGACAGAATGAATAGGAATTTGTAAGATGTTAAGGTTAAACACACTTCTACTCCCATCTCACCCAGGGTACAACCGATCAGGCTACACTAAAGGTGCCTTCTGTGAAATCCCAAAGTTCAGCTATGGTTAGTACCAGTTCAACGACCACTCCTGTAACCACGCCAGCCTTGGTGGTTCTAGCATGAACCCAACTGCCCGACCCTTTGTTCCAAAGAGTGTCTCCGTTAAAGAAGAAGAGTATAAACACAAGTACGAAACCCCCACTGATTATACCCTGTCACATGTCAAAAAAGAATGTACGTGCAGTTTCGGAAAGGATTGAAGCTCTGTGGAAGGTAAAAGACTACATCAAGACTATCTTGACATTCAAAGGAAACAGGCAGAACTGTCAGAAATGATTGTTACCCAACAGGCTACGAGCGTCATACCTAGTCACAAGCCACCAACGTTCTCTCTGGAGATGTTATGACATTCATAACAGCCTTTGAAACTCTCATAGAATCTACGGTAGATGATTGTAGTGAGCACTTGTATTTCTTGGATCGGTACACTAGTAGGAAGGTGAAGGAACTGATAAAGGGTTTTTTACAAATGAAAGGCGAAGATTCGTCCAGAGGTTAGACGGCTTTTGAAGAAACGTTTTGGTCACCCATACAAGATCGCAAGTGCATACATCGCCAAGCTATCGAGCTGGCCCGCTGTTAAGCCTAACGACCGAACAGGGTTACAAAAATTTTCCACTGTACTTGAGCAAGCAAGGAACGCCATGAAAGGCACGCAATAAATGAACGACTTGAACACGGCCAATGTTATGCGCCAGTTATGGGAAAAGCTGCCGCTATATCTACGCAGTAAGTGGACTGAAAGAGTTAGCAGGATTAGGAGTGTCAAGGGACAGACAGCCAGCTTTTATGACTTTTGTCAATTTGTATCAAGAGCAAGCCGATTTAGCGACAGACCCGATCTACTCAGAGGAAGGCATTAGTAAAGCGATGGACCCATTTGGGAAGTACCTTAAACAGAGAGAACGCAAAACTAAGAGAGGAAGAGGTACCAACTTCGCAACAGGCTTGTCAGGAAAGAATGGCAGTGGAGGAAACTCTCACCCCATCAGCTGTACATTGTACTCTAGGGCGCATCACCTTGACGAATGTGCCGAGTTTCTTAAAAAACCGTTAGTGGAGCGGAGAGACGTTATCAAACAGAAAGGTTTATGCTTTGGTTGCTACAATTCTGAACACATTGCCAAGCTTTGCAAAGGTAAAAAAACCTGTCAGATTTACAATGAGAAACACCCAACGTCACTCCATGATTACAGCTGGAAATCAGAAGACGTGAAAACGGAAAGTGGAAAAGGCCAACATGAGAAATCGGAAGTCAGCGAAAAGAAAACGGAAGAGCGAGTCGTTAACGTGTGTACTGCAATTTGCAATGTGACAGATGCCGGTGATGTACCAGTTGCTATGGGTATAATCCCAGCGCGGTTGTACCCCAAGGACAATCCAAACAATAAGATGTGCTTACGCCCTCCTTGATAATGCCAGTGGTGGAACATCCATTAAAGAACACTCGTTAGGAAGGCTTGGTGTTGAAGGAAGTGAAACCAAACTTTTGCTCACCACTATGCATGGTACCCAAGAAGTCGACACTAAAGCGGTAGATGAGCTAATGGCTTCCCACTTTCAAGAAAACGAGGTTATCGTACCCCTACCGAGAGCCTACGTCAGATAACGGATTCCAGCAGATCGTGATGAGATTCCGCGTCCCGAGGAGCTGCAAGGATGGTCCTATTTGCAGATAATTAGAAAACACGTACCTCCTCACATGGAAGACGTGGAAATAGGACTCCTGCTCGGACTAAATTGCCCTAGTGCAGTGCGACCAAGAGACATTGATTCGGCGGAAATAAGAATGGACCCTATGCAGTACGACACTACTGGGATGGCACGTAAACGGTTCTGTTAACCAAAAGAGCAGTAAACAAGTCCATTGTAACCGTATTCAGATTCAGCACGGAGGATTAAGAGCAGCACGGAGGATAACGTTAGGGGGTACATCGTCGCTCAGACAGAGATTAAGGAGCGGCTAACCCCTCAAGTGGTTTCTCGAATGTTTAAGGTGGACTTTGCCGAAAGGAAATACGGAGTCGCATTATCAAGAGAAGATCCTCAGTTCCTGAAGATTGTAGAAGATGGAATCCATCATAGAGATGACATGCATTACGAGACCAATAACCGTCCTCAAGCAGAGCAACGCCTTCACGGCCTTAAGAAGAGACTCCAAGGCGAAGAAAGGTATCGCGCTCATGACTGAAATCATAACTTTCATGTCTGAAATCATAGAGAAGGGATATGCTCGAAAGGTCAAGTTTGAAGAGCTACCCCGTCAAAAAGGAAAGTTCTGGTGCTTACCACACCACGGGGTTTACCACCCCAAAAAACAGGGAGCATACGAGTAGTATTTGATTGTTCAGCTTGCTACCAGGGTGAATCGCTCAATGGCCACCTATTGCAAGGGCCCTATCTAACAAGCAAGCTCACTGGGGTGCTTACAAGGTTCAGAGAGGAGAAAATAGCCTTTTTGGCTGGCTTAGAGAAAACGTTTTTTCAAGTCAAGGTTCCATAGGAAGATCAGAAAGATCAGAACTTCCTTCGCTTCTTATGGTGGCCAAAAAGAGATTTAACTCACGAACCTCAAGAGTACTGCATGACAGTGCAGCTCTTTGGAGTTGGTTCATCTCCAGGGTGTTCTAACTTCGCCTTGAAACGTACAGCCGAAGACGGTGAAAGAGAGTTTGGTGCAAGAGCTGCCGAAACATTAAGGAAGAACTTTTACCTTGATGACGCTCTGAGATCGGCACCGACAGAGAAGGACCCTCTAGGACTAGTACAAGCTGCTAAAGTCAAAGAGATGTGTGCGATTCAAACTAACAACATTTGTTAGCAACAGTAGAAAGGTGATGATGTCAGTACCTGCTGAAGACAGAGCAAACCAGATCAAGAGCCTAGACCTTGGCACTGACAAGTTTCCAATAGAGAGAGCATTGGGTGTAGAATGATGCATTGAATCGGACGCATTCAAATTCAGGATAGAGTCGAAGGACAAGCCGTGCACCCGTAGGGGTATACTGGCAACTATAAGCTCGATCTTTGATCCTCTGGGGCTGGTCGCACCCGTCGTCCTTGTTGGAAAGCAGATACTTCAAGAGATCTGTCACGGAAAAGACTGGAACGAGCCAATCGAGGTTCTCGCCAAATAGGAAAGATGGAGAAGTCAGTTACCGCTATTAGGGCAGCTAAACATTCCAAGAAACTTTCAGTCTCCCGATTTTGGAAGCATTGCCACTGCTTAGTTACATAATATGTCAGATGCGTCTCAAGTCGGGTACGGACGATGTTCTTATCTCAGACTGGTTGATAAAAACGGAAGAATTCATTGTTCTCTTGTTATGGGGAAAGCTCGTGTTGCACCGTTGAAGACAGTCACTATTCCAAGACTTGAACTAACTGCCGCTACCGTTTCAGTAAAGGTTGCAAGCATGCTAAAAGAAGAGTTGGACTACGATGGACTCCAAGACTTCTACTGGACTGAAAGTAAGGTTGTCCTCGGGTTCATCAACAATGAGTCTCGAAGATTCCCATTGTATGTTGCAAATAGAGTGCAGTTGATCCGAGACCACACTTCACCAGACCAGTGGCGCTACGTGAAGTCTGGATCCAACCCAGCAGATGAAGGGTCAAGGAGTTTATGCAAAAAGTCGCAGTAGATTAAGCGCCCAGATTTCTTGTAGCAGACAGAAGATCACCGGCCTCAACAAGACTCATAGAAAAACGAGGTCCATCACAATTCTCCTGACGTTAGAAAGGTCAGCGCTAACGCGACAGTGATTGAAGAACATGAAAAAATGTTAAGCAGATTCGAAAGATTCTTCTAGTGGCAAGTCTTAAGGCCGCAGTTGCTGTTTGAATGGAATACAAACGACGTCTTAAGATGAGAGTCAGAAGAGCAGATAAGGGACCTCTAGCTGTTGACGGTCCTCAAGTTAATGGACGGAGCCGTAAATGTGAAAGTTGCCCGGCTACTTCCTTTATGGTCAGAGACCTTGGACAAGCAGAAACAGAAATTCTTACGCTCGTGTAAGCGAATTATTTCGATAAAGAAACCAAGATTCTGAAAGATTTCCAAACCCAGACCGAAAGTGTGCCTAAAGATCGTCATCATGATAAGGAAAGGAAAGCAGTTTTGAAGAAAAGAACCAGCCTTAACACCCTTGACCCATACCTGGATGCCAGCGGAATGTTGAGAGTCGGAGGACGGATAAAGAAGGCTAACCTCTCAGACAGTCTTAAGAACCTTGTCATTTTACCGCAGACTGGTCATATTACAGAGCTGGTCCTCCGCCACGCCCATGAGAAAACTAACCACAGCGGAAAAGGATCTCTCCTTAAACGAAGTTCGTTCGAATGGTTACTGGATTATCAATGGGAATAAGGGTCAGACACTTCATATCAAGGTGTGTCACGTGTCGACATCTCCCTGGTACTTTTGGAGAACAGAAAATGGCCAAACTCTTAAGTTCCCGTGTCGAACCCGCGCCACAGTTTTCATAATTTATTGAGCGGTAGACTACTTCGGTCGGTGGCATACTAAAGAAGGTAGGAAAGAAGTTAAAAAGTACAGAGCCTTATTAACTAGTTTGGCCAGTCGAGCGATACATATCGAAGTAGCCCACTCCATGGAAACAGATTCATTCTTGCAAGCATTACGGCACTTTATCTGTCGGAGAGGACCCATAAGAGAACTTTCCCGTGACCAAGGGTCTAATTTGGTTGGGGCTGAGGTAGCGCTCCAGGAAATGGATGATGAGAAAATTAAGGTGGCTCGATACAGTTTTTCAGGGCCAATACCTCCCAAGTTTGAGCATAAACTACGTCGCCATAAACAAAGTTTTGTAAAAATTGCCACCCCAGTTGTATTAGATAAAGATGAAAATTTGTTGTGATCAGGGTTGCAACGGAATCGGAGTTGTCATAGCAACGAAATGACGCTATTACCTATTTTACTTGCAGCAGTATATCTCGGCACTGGGAACTGTTCTTCCAAAATCGTTCACGGAAGCTTTTTCCTCCAATAGCGGCCTCGATGCTCGTGAATTTTAAGCGTAATCTGTAAGAGCGTTATTGAGATATTTTGGGATGAAGTTTTTGTGGAATATCAAGATTATCCATTTTTTACCGTATTTCTAACCACAAAATCTTTATCCTAAAATATCTCGATAACGCTCTTACAGATTTCGCTTAAACTTCACTAACATCGAGGCGGCTATTGGAGGAAAAAGCTCCCGTAAATGATTTTGGAAGAACAGTTCCCAGTGCCGAGAAATACTTCTGTAAGTAAAATAGGTAATAGCGTCATTTCGTTGCTATGACAACTCCGATGTCATTGCAACCCTGATCATAACAAATTTTCATCTTTATCTAATACAACTGTGGTGGCAATTTTTCCAAAACTTTGTTTATGGCGACGTAGATTATCCTCAAACTTGGGAGGTATTGGCCTTGAAAAACTGTATCGAGCCACCTTAAGGCAGAGCTACTTAAGGAGAACATTGATTAGATCAGAAACCCTGCTACAGCAAGTAATTTCAGGGGTGATTCGGTCCGTGCGGAACATTATGGCAGTACCTATGAAGCAGCATGGTCACAGCGTAAACGACGAATCATTGCGAACTCTGTTGTGTGAACTGAGAGGAAGCTGTTGTCAACAGTTGTCCTCTTACCACCGAGACCTTAAGTGTTCCGCTCGCACCGTTGCCACTACCCTCAAGGCCGAAGTTACTGGTAAAACCAAGCTCCTTCTCCCCCCTCCAGGAAAGTTTCAACGAGAAGATACTTACTGCAAACGTTGCTGGAGGCGCCTACAGCATATTGCTGGCGATTTCTGAAATAGATGGAGTAGAGAATACCTTCAGATCCTACAGTTGAGACAAAAGTGGACACACAAGAGAAGAAACTTCAGGGAAGGCGACATTGTTCTATTAAAGGACAACAATTCTTGCAGGAATAAGTGGCCTATGGCTTATGTGCTTACCACACGACGTGATGATGAAGGCCAAGTCAGATCGGAGACTGTTCAAACAGGAACTGGATCAGTGTTGGATCGACCAGTCAATAAACTTGTGTTGTCGCTAGAGTCACCTGAGGATGACCGGGAATCCCTGACGAGGAGCCTGAGGAACTGTGATGTGTCAGAGACATGATACCTAGAACGCTTCGCAATTTTATTATTTTGAACGAGTCAGAGTAAGATTTGTTTTGGTTAAAATGATGAACATTTTATGGGAGCCATGTAAATGTTAGGTTTCCTGTGCACTAGGTCCAGTCTGCACCAAGGTTTTGTCATTCGACACTAGGTCTAACCTTGGCAAACATGTTCTTTTAGAGCTTGTTATTTTCGCCTTTATTTTTCGTCGGATAAGGATCGGTTAACTAGACTCACATCGAAGGAATCGAACGTTTATACGGAATCATTACGGATATTGCAGCAATGTTCAAGGTTACGGACACAGACTCTTGCTTGTTTATAAGAATTTCTTGTACGGTATTGTATTCGAATAGTGTGCTGAGCATAGTTGATCGGATCGAACAGATCGAATAAAACGTGGAATTGACACTGAATTGACGGCTGTTACACAAACTGTAATTCTACAGTCTTAGATTTCAGGAATAAAAGCAGGTTTTTTAGGATTTAAATCCAGACTGAGACGTATTGCACTCTTCTGCGAAGTGAGACGCAGAGATTTTCACCAATCGTTTGCCTCAAAACAAAACAAAATGGGCACTCTAGCACATTTAAAAAAAAGTTTACTTTTGAACACCATTTCAATAAAATGATGAAGGATCTGCTCTAATATAAGGCACTGAAAAACCATACCTTGCATGAAACACTGAAACACTGACATGTCAACCAAGTAAAAAAAATTGTGTAATATTGTACAACTGTACAACTGTACCTGTTTCCATAGTCTATTGTTTGAGTAACTTTCTGCTTTAGTTGCTTCAACTGGTCCTAAAAAGACAAATTTTAATACGATAATTGACCCACTTAATAACATCAACAATCACCGACAAAATTAATCACCCCAGAGGACCTAAAATGAGGAAAACAAAGCTTTCCCTTCCACACCCCCTTGACACAATGACGTGCCACACCCCAACATCCCAACTTTGAATGGAGGGGAGGGGGATCAGGGAGAGGGGGATAGGTGTGGATTGTATTGTTCTCTGTAGTTAACCCATTTGATGACAATGTCTCAACAATTTTGTTGCCAATTGTAGTTGTCACTGGCAGCGAATTTTAGGTTATTATTCCAACACCCCAGTACTGATGATCAAAACAGGGTGCAAAGAAAGTCAGTTTTACAGCCTGCCATTCAAGCTGTAGTTAGCATGTACTAGCCCACAAGTCATTTCAACTAGCCCAAAAACCCTTTTTGATTAGCAGTATTGATTACAATCCTTCTGTAATTTGAATTTCCCCCAAAACACAGCACTGTCGGGCAAGTTGAGAACAAAAATCACTAGCCTGATAACAAAATCCACTAGTCCTGGTCTATCAGACACGACTTTCTTTGCACACCGTCAAAAGCAAGTTGACACATTTACAAACCAATAATGACAAGAGCAGGCTTTACAAACTGTACGTATATGATATAATCCACCCTGCTGGCTGGCAGAGCCTTTCTTTTGCTTGCTTGATATTGGCATACTCAAGAGAGACTCTGCGTGAATCGAGTAAGATCTCGGTGGACCATGCGCTGCTTGTTGCTAACTGAGGCTTAATAGCAGTGTGCACTTGGTACAGCAGGCTCAGTTACCACCATCAGTTTATCAATAAGAGTTAATAATAATAATAATAAGAATAATTTTATTTACATGTACGTAGCGCTCATATCCTGAGCTCATGGCGCTTATGTAAAAAAGGGAAAGAAAAGAGTTAATCACAGCAGTGCAGACTGTGTTAAAAAGGGTCAACGTTCACTTGATTAAACACACTGCACTGTACTTTAAAACCATTATTGTGACCCTTATTTATTTATTTATCATTAAAAAAAAGTCCTATAAATAAATCGACATGTACTTACAACAGGAAGCGCCTTAGCTAGGATTTGCCGCCGCCAATCCATTAATTCCAGCATCAGTTTTTTTACATCATGAAACAGGGCCTCCTCTCTCCTCTATAAGAAAATCACTTGAAACTCTTAAGTTAAGGTCATGGTGTACAAAGCAACTTCTCTTGCACTTTTGCACAACTTAATTTAATATTGTGCTCATGTTTGCCACTTGCTGCATCTTCACTGATCCCCATAATTTTTTTGTCTTGCAATGTATAAAAATTTGTTATGGCATTACCACTCATTTAGAAAAAGATGATTCTACTCTTCAATGTATGCTGCAATGATCAAAACACTGCAAGATATGTTCTATGTTTGATTTCTATGGTATGTTAGAACCCTGTGGGGATGTCACTAAGAGCTGTGGGCCAGGGATTTACCATAAGCATGACCCCTGCCAAATAAAAATACACCCCCGGAAAATAAATTAAGAAAAAAAGCAAAGGGACTTGCATGTACTAACATTCCAATTCCTACCAACCAGCTACACCGACCTAACTTAAAATCTTATTGACACCCTTAATACTGTGTAACAGGGACACGGTTAAGACCCCATTTAACTTTTAAAGGTTCAAAACAGTAAAATTTGTCACAAGTACTGTACAATTATGTAGCAATAATTTAAAATAGTCGTACCAGATACAATAGCTTCCACATGGCCCCCCATTCCCTGAGGACAGAAGTAAGTTCTTCAACAAGGGCCTCTTCCTTGAAAACACTTTCTGCCTCACTGAAAACAACAAATCCATGGATCAAGGTTTGAAATCGTACGTCACCTTAATCACAACCATGTTGCAAATGCAATCATGTGAAAGCCTCATCTTTCTAAGTTGTTTTAACATTTGACACAGGATTTTGCATTTATTGTCGCCTGAGGAAAAAAGGCAACATTTTGCTACCCCACTATTGGTTTCTCTGCAAAATGACGTCCAAGGAGCAACAAAAAAATTTCCATACTGATGATGTATCACCTCCCATATCTGGGTAGGGCTTTTGATTGGTTGAAGCAAACTTTCAATAAATCCAAAGCACTACCCAGACCTGGGTGGCAACACCTCATCAGAATGGAATTTCTTTGATTGTTCCTCAGAAGTCATTTTGCAGAGAAACCCATGGTTGCATTGTAAAATGATATCTGCTTTCTCAAAGGTTAAAAAGTGAGAGTAACAAAATAATCTTGTCACGTCTCAGTCAAAAAGCAAAAAGGTTAAAAAAAAGGTTGCAAATTCAATTCCCTTTGTCTGTGATCCCTATTCATTAGCAATCACCTCCAATACTGTCATCAAGATCAAGTGGAAAAATACCAGTATGTTCTACAGCTTGTACAAGTGGACAAGTTGTGTCAACTCAGTGATATAATGATATAATAATAATATCTTCGACTCCCAACTCCTAACCTATTATGAATATTAGGGCTAGTCAATTTTGATTCATTTTAGGTAATTAAACTTGAATTTCATTCTAAACTACCACATTAATTATTTATAACAAAGCAGTAAGTGGTCTATGCCAAATCTACTCTCGAGAAATCAACTAACTCCAAATTGCTGCATAATACACCTATTGAAAAATCATGTACAATTTACCAATAAATATTATGGACTTTCTCAAAAGGCTTGTCATAAGTACTGAGGGTTTATAACATATTCCCAAAGTAACAAAATGATACCTTGAGGACTCATCCTTGTCATTCTTGACATAGATATATGTCTTGGGAAATATACCCTGAAAATGAACAGAACATTTCTGGATAGATCAGACTAACACTTAATGTAATAAACTCAGTTATGTACCCTACTTACTTACTTAGGCCGGGAATTATCCCAATCTGTCCTAATAAAATCTTTCCAAATGCCCTATTGAGCATGCATTGCATCTCTTATTCTGAAATTTTAAATATACTGTATATCACAAGAGCAGAGTTGCAATTGAAGCTCTTACTTTTGACAAGGACAGGAAGGGAGTTGCAACAATCTATGTAAAAATCTTTTAGGGTCAGAAAACTTATAATTTTGGCAAATGTCAGTTTAAACAGCAACACGCTACACAATAGATTTTAGATTGTATGTTTCGTTTTCCCAAAATTATTCAGGCTATGCATGCAGGGCTCGAAATTGCGACTGATACGGTCGCATTTGCAACTTAATTTTTCTTATTTGCGACTAGAAAAACGAGAGTAGTCGCAAATTTGCGACTAGGTTTTGCCTTAACTGATACGAAATAAAAGGACTAGCACTTGAATTTTTGCTTAAATAAATTTAGAAATAAAAAGATTCATTGAAGTAGCGTCTTATAATTTTGTTACAATCTGAAGGTTTACCGTAATTTACCGGGAATGCATACACGCAACGATATTCCTTCAAAAGCACGCCATTTTCAGCGGGACATTGCAGGCTCATATTTCGTTTTGATTTGCCGCTGACAGTCGTTAGTCACTGAGCAAGATCGAAGGAACAGAAACAAGCAGAAAAAACTGGAGTCAATAACTTTCGTTGGTAAAAAATGAGTACTTAAGGCTTCATTGTTTCTTCGTTTGACAGTAACGGTTAGTTTAAAAAAAAAAGAGTTACATGTAAAATAAATCGGTTCCAAGTGTGTTGCGAATCTACGTATACATGAAAACGAAGTTTAGCAAACAAAGATGGCGGAATGTCCGCATGGCACGTATCGTCGTATTGAATGATTCAGTCCTTCAGGGTTCTTTGAATAATCACCGTAGTAACACCCCTGATACTTCAGATGTAAAGCTTAATATATAAAAGAATTCGTTACTTGTTTTGTCATCAGTGGAAAACCTGCAAAAGGTAAAACTAAAGGAATTTAGTTACGTAACGTAACCTATAACCGTGTCGGATGTCCGCCTAGTACAAATGTTATTGCTATTTTGCAGAGATTGGAGGCATTTAAGAACTGCAGTTTCCTGCTGCAATATCTGTTCTTGATTTGGAAATCTATCGCTTTGACTAAAATAACAGACACTAATTTATGTGCCTTAACGCAGGTTCAACTTGATCGTTTAGATGAACTGGTGTTGTCCGAGATGCTAAACGTTCTGTACTATTAAGTCTCGAAATGACATGAAAGCTGTTGAAAGAATGAAAATTAAAGCGTTAAACATTTAAAAGCCTACTTACTTCTTTATTAAATAGCCTCAATTAATTTCGCGACTAACATTTTCAAAGTTGTGACCAAATTTTCGTAACTAGTCGCAAATTTGCGACCAGACATTTTTTTAATTTCAAGCCCTGCTATGTGATGTTCTCCAGGGAATTTGCCTTTTGTCTTTTCCCAAACGATTATTATGCATGGTATGCATGTGGATGCACATACATGGGATAACATTTTGAAAGAAACGGTTCTCTGGGTTACCATCATGTGGTCTGAAATGGAAAAACAAAATATAGAAGCCAAAAAGGTCTATTGGTTATCCATTTAATGCACTACAGAGTGACCTCAACACTCGGGATCTCCTTTAATGGTATACCTGCCAACTCTCACGCCTTAGGCGTGAGTCTCATGCCTGCGGGTTGAAAACTTCGATCTCACGCCGGTTCACGCCTGTGGGCCAATTTCTCACGCCTGATTGAAAAATGTGAGTTGTTGCCGTCCTCCTTGACACAATTTCCAAAAATATGTTAACTCAGACCCATGTAAGGAAAGAAAACCATGTGTAAAATGAATAAATGGCAATACCTTCCTCGCGATCTCTGATTTTTGAAGTGAAAAGCACTGGGAGCGAGCTCGCCTTTGGCAGACTTCGGCAGACTTCGGACGTCTTCGGAAGACTTCGGACGTCTTCGGAAGACTTTGGACTTCTTCGGGAATCTTCGGAAATGATCGTGTCGTCTTCAAAAATCCCAGCACTCCCAGGATAAAAATCTCACGCTTATTTCTCAGAAAAAGTTGGCAGGTATATAATGGTTATGATAAAATTAAGGATTGAGTTACACAAACTGCTCAATAAAGTAATACGGACCTTGTTAGCTTTTTTTCTCAATGAAAATCCTCTGTACCATCCTAAATCCATGTGGAATGACATAAAACAGAGCAGGTTCACAATGTAAGGAACAGTTCAATAGTAAGTACTAGCAAATTAGCTGACCTTTCCGTGACACATCAAGAGACATTCCAACCCCCTTTGAAGGAAAATAAGGAGACTCTTTTAGCTCTGGAAGAGCTACATTTAAAAAGAGCGCTGAAGGCTAGTTGCCCTAGAAAATTAATTTGCAAAGTTAGGTTCTCTCAAGTTGAGAATTGTACTGTGAGACATTATGCAAGAGGAAAGTGTAATATATAATGTCTGGCCCTCAGATTGCAATAAAAAAACAAAGATTTTCAATCAGAAATTCATGACAAATCGGGAGAATCTGATAAAAATCAGCAGAGAGGGAGACAAAACAACAATTCGGGAGACTTCCAATTGAATCGGGAGGGTTGGAATGTCTACATCAATCACCTCCAAAGTTAGAGCCGATTTTAGAGGCAATATATTTGTTCAGGTATTACTCTTGCAATCCCCCACCCCTCTTCCACTTCCTACCCTAAAATCTTTATATGCTTGGACCAATTTTGTGACCATTCAACTGAAACCTTTCTACACTGAGCTGAAAGTAGCGTTGATTTTTTGTTGTTTGTTGTTATTATTGTTGATGCTGTTGTTGTTTTGTTTCTTAAAGCTTAGTTTTTACAATCGTCCTCATTCATAAGGATTCAGAGTAGTTTGACCTACTGCTCCCCTCAAAAGAGGTTTGGTATGAAGCCCCACCCCCCAAAGGGAAAATGCAAAACAAGGTCATTCAGGAAGTCTGTTGGTTGAATTTCTTCAATAAGATCTCAGTGGGTTTCTTTTTTAGAAGCAAAATGATGAGAATTTAAGTTCCCTCATGCACGGACAGACCGGATGTGCTTTTCCTGCAGAAAATGTATGATGATCATCGTTGAGCTACAAAGGAAACTTTCAGTTTTCATGCCACGCTCAAATTAAATCATATTCGTACCTGAGCTCTCCTCGAGTATCTGGACAGTCTCACCAAGCTGAAGTTGTAGTTGATACATCCCTTTGCCATGATAGTTGTAGATAACTAAAGAAATGACCAAGTATTACAAGTAGAAATGGCAGAGCGCCGTGTAACACTTTCCTCGATCAATGATCGTGACATGAGAAAAGATTTCCGAAACTAATCAAAAATATTTCGTTATACGCACCTACTCCAAGCTGAGGAGTCTTGAGTGCTTTCCAGACGGTCATCTCTGATTGTGTCAATGCGATCCGTTAGAGTTTATAGAAGTGAAAACATCGAAATCACAACACGCTTAGCAAGCCCTTCCCTCCATGATGGCTTCTGGAATTTCCGGGTGGTACTCCGCTGACATAGCAAATTATAGGCACGCATCGGCACGCATTACGTGCAAATGTTTCGAACCAGCGGGTGCGAAACTTTAAAGTTTCCTATGCAAATTTTCTAATTCTGTTGCTTCCCATTGCCGCTGTAGATTTTAACCCCGAAAGGACCTCGACGGGTATATTCAATGTGACGTTATTTTAAAGAGTGGGCAGATTAAAATGAGAAAAATAAATAATTGCGTGGACTATGGTTGAACGCGTAAACGATTGCGTGTCGCACACCAGGAGGAAGTAGCCAAACTGGATAAATAATCAAAATTTAGTGTATGGTTATTTGTAAATCAGAAATGTATATTTTGCAGTCACCCTGAACGCTCGGAGTAAGACCAATGTTTACTGCATTCAACTCTTTCTTGCCATAAAGCAGGAGTTCAATTACAGTTTCTTCCCCTTTCAGCACATTCTACAAACTCGTAAGTATAATACAACCACCTTGTAAAGTTATTACGCTCAACGAAACTACAGCCTTTTATTGGACCTAAAGTTGCACTGAAACCAATTCGGTTGTTAAATTCTTCATTTTGCTCAATTGGTGCGGCTTTTTCTAAGTTTAAAAGTGCTTCAAAAGGAATAATTTCGGCAATTCAACTCGAGTATTTCGAACTGACTTAATACCGGAGTAGGCAACGCGGAAATCGTACAAGTTGTTGGCTTATGCAAGGCTAGATTGAGTATAAGCAACAAACAGGAGCCCTACAGCACCTCGTGAAATCCAACGCAAGGTGCTATGTACTCCAGACACTGGAAACCGGTCGTTTCGATTCAAACTACGTTTCGATACCAACTTACGAGCACTGAGATTCATAAGCATGAACCAGAAAAACATTTTGGGTGAATATTCTTCGTTCTTTAAGCCAAGGACGAACTATTTACATTTCGACTGAATAAACCTGTATCGAAATGCTCGTATCAAAACAACTTTGTATCGATACCGGGAAGGAGCAAGGAAGGAATCGAGAGACTCGGGGAGACAAAAGGCAAAGACGAAAGAAAAGAAGGATGGGAAAGTCGATCGCGCAATAAATCGTCAGCCCTATTAGTTTTCCTTTGAACACTTGCTGAGCACGGACAATGAATTCAACCGTTTGATTATCCGACTTCATCAGATTCTGGACTTTTTAGCGGAAAAAGATTTAGATTTAGAAAACTTTAACCGCATTGACGTATTAAGACCAACACATGAGCTGGGTCCAGTCTGAGTTTTGCCGGGAAATAAGGGATCTAGAGCAACGACGTCGAGGAAGGCAGCGAGCCGAACTGCAAACACGTACATTTCTTTACCGTCGTTGCTCGACTAGGACGTTAAACTTCGTAATCATTTCATGTATTGTTGGGAAAGTGAATACAAGATCACTATCTTCCTTTTTTTTTGATATAAACTTACTGTAGATACAGACCTTCAGAACTAAACTCCAGAAAAATTCGCTAACAAATTGAAACGAAGTGCTTTCAAAGCTATGAAGTTTAAAACAGCGCGAATACACTTTCTGGGGGACGTTTTTGTAGCAATACGGGTGGGTGAATCACAGCCAGAGTTTGCTATGTCCCATTGCTAAGTTTACGCCCCGGAGTTAAATCAGTAAAAGTGCTGTGACACGGAGCCTACATATGTTTTTCTTTTCGGAGAATATTAGAAGATTGTGACAATGAAAGTGGATCTGAATTAGAAACTGAAAACTTAACAGCAGTTGTTTAAAGTCTGAGACACGTTATCAGAAGACTACCTTTTTCAGTCCTTACAACTTTCGTTTAAACAGGGATATATTTTGATATTCAAAATAAGATTAAAAGCATGTGGGGTAGTATCAGTAATGTTTATAAGATAAGAAATTAGTTTAAACGCAATACACAGCTATGAATTCTCCTAGACTTTAAAAGAATGATCACATCAATCTTAACTATGTATTGCGCATGCATCTATTAAAATGTTCTATACACTGCTATAAGAAACTGGCAATAACACTATGGCAAGATGTAAATGCAATATTAACCGCTTCCTTGCGTTTAAATTCAACATTCCCTGTTTTGAATGAAAGTGGTCTAAACGTAAACTTTTAACCCTGGAGAAAGCGTGTGCATGATAGGAAATGTTTTACCCGACTGTGTGAAACCTTTCAGATTTCAAAGAAGATCTTTTTGCATGCTGCGGTTGTGACTCATGCTGATGTGACTGCAGAAAACGCTTTTCACAATTTCACAAAGGCAACAATTAAACTGTCATTTTTACAATCGACAATAAAAAACCTTTTTAAAGCACAGCATGTTAATGTAAACACATGGAAAGAACAGAGCAATAGCTTTTTGATTGACTATTCCAAGGATGCTGTGGGCTGTTTAATAACTCTGCTGAATTAATATAAAACCTAACGGTCGTTCAGAAAACAACAAATGGGCTTCAACAGAACCACAATAAACCGGGTGACCGTATAGAATAATTTTACCACGTGGTAAAGAAACAATAGATTATGGTAGATTTGACAAGAAATAATAAAATTAATAAGGTTCGGCGCGACCACTTCAGAGTATGCATGGCAAGTGCACACACGAGCCTTTTTTGAAAAAAGCTTCTTGCGCACCCCCAAAATCGTAGCATTGCACGCGGCAGCAGGCGGCAGCAGGCGGCGGCAGTCGGCAGCGTTGGGCCTATAAACAGATTTGCAGCTGACTTACAAGGGTTTAGCCATGATGTTTTTTGCCAAATCAAATCTAACCTAACCTCTCAGTTCTCCGACATCATTTCCACATCCTTGCTTAACTTTTGCTTTCTCATCAGTATAGTGAGGTTATATACGAATGAATGGGCTGGTTATTTGTGTGTAATCTTGTTTGCAGCCCTGCTTTGAATGAACTGAACGGTAAAGCATGAACATACAAGGGGGGTCAGGGGGCTTGCTCCCCCGGGAAAATTTGAAATTCAGGTCATCTAAAACGGCTGGAAAGGCGCCTAAAACTCGCATCTTTCTAATACTCAGCCTTTCTATGGGCATGCACCCGCATTCTGGTATAAAAAGTCGTGTTGTAAGGGATGCACGCGGCTAATGATTGGCTCTGTACGCAAGAGATCTTGTCGAGTTCTGCCATACACTGCAGACGGGCGTTTTCTATTCTTGTTTCAGAGAATTTCTTCACTAGATGTACATGAAGGAACGGAGGCATTTTAATTTTGCCCCGGTTAAAATTGAATATTGTCGCATTTTAATAGAGCAAAAAAATGACACCCATCGACCGGACGGCTCGTTACAAAAATTGAACCAAAACAACAGGTGTATGTTTGAAAATACAGGCCGCCGTCTTTTTAATAACTATTTCCTGATCAACAAACTTTTCAAACATCAATCAAGAATGTGACGGCCTACCAAGTTTGTATTATTATAAAAAAAAGTACAGTCTATCAGAGGTAGTTTATTCCGGCTATAAAGACGTCGGTCTTGCTTTTTCAGCGTGTCCATTAATTTTAATAACTCTTAACTTCCCGGTGACTCATCGCAAGTTCATTAGTCGCCCAGCAAGCAAATGGATCTCTCTCAGCAAGAAGCATTCTAGTCTTCGATAACGAGATCGTTTTTTCTCAGCATAGACCACTTCTTCTTTCAAGACACAAAGTCAAACAAAATTTACCCAGAACTTTAATTACATCCTGTGATTCAAAAAAATGTCATGTTCTGCAATGATTAGAGCAAACTTTTGAAGAAAACTGACAAGTTTTGCAACATTTGATCCGGCCGAAAGGACCGAAAGGCCGAAAGGACGAAAACAGTTTTGCTTCATCCAAAGGAAGTTCTAGTGGGAGATTCAAACTGACCCCGCTTCGAGCAAAATTAAAAACTACCACCAAGAAAGTATCAATCATCAAGCACGTAGTAACACTACAGGTAGCTAGTTACAATGAAAAGTCGTTGTAAAAAGCATAATGACAGAAAAACAAGACACTACATCACTGGCAAACGACTTGTTTACCGGCCCAGGCGCACGGTTGTTCCAAGTATTGAATAGGAGATTTAATTTATTAGAGGCAGCAAATATTCGAGACTTCCGGCAAACAGCCTTATTAATCTTGATTTAAGGCAAGGAAATGTAAGTAAATTTGTAATAGCTTAAAATCCTAGCTCAGACTAACTCGCATGCACATCTTTCGCCTTCGATTGTTCATGGACAGCTATTTGCACTTTAAAAGAACAATGTGCTAACTGGTGGAAATGCGTTTATTAGTTCTTGATCTGCTCAAAATAGAGTTTCCGACAGAACATTGATTTTAACTTTATTTTGACTCGAAGCGCGAGTGAGGAGGAGCCAGGAAACATCATTTTAAGTCGAATCACGTACCTAGAGTCACGGTAAGTATGATAACTGACCTAAATTAAGTTAGTGAGTAACAAGCAAGAAACGTATTCGTAGCGATGTTGTTCTCCTAGCCAGCGTGTGTGTGACTTGCTCAAATGACCTAAATTTCCTAGCATTTCTTTAAGTGGGTCTGTCTAATCAACCCATAACTCTAAACCGCGTTTAGGAACTGCCATGATTTTGAGGTAAAAGGTCGCCGAAGGGTTTTGAAATTATAATGCAGTCCCCTCGAAAATGTCGAAACTTCAAAAAAAATCTGAAAGAAATGAAGTGTTTCCAGTTGCAATTGACCGAAGCAGATAACTACTCGGATGAGCAATTATAAGGAAAAGTTACGCTTCTTTCCCGGAGAGAATCCACGATGCATTTTGATTGCCCTTCAAAGTTTGCTGTAAAAAAAAAAGTTTAGCGATTCAGACCTCTTCTACGGTAACCGTCGCAAGAAAACCGTAATAAGTCGAACGATAAAGGCGTCACTACTTGATAAAACGGTTACTGCAAAATTAAAATTTTAGAAAGGCCCTTATTAAGCGATGGCTATTTACTAGTCATTTTACAGAGTCCATAAAGGAACAGAGAAAAGGATATACACATGTAAACGAGACTATTTCTATCCGTGCAGGTTTCATGAAAGAAGAAAATGATATTCTACATTTTTCTTCGACACAGTACTGTGAATAAAAGAAAACGAATTTACCACATCAGAAATACGGATCCTTGTAAGAAATTACTGGCATTTGCTTGAAATGATAAACATGTGAATGCCTTTTTTGTCACTTCCTTAGGTAGTATGTAGATTCGTTAAGTTTCGTCATGGTCATAATTATTTTTGATGTAAGACAAAATAGAAAAGGAGTTACTAAGCGAGCGGTGTGCGACACTGTAAGCAGTCTCTTTACTGAGGGGACTGAGTGCACGCGCACGCAAGCGTCGAACCGCGTGGCCGCGAAACGCGTGAAACGAGGCGTGCCTCTACCGTTTAGAGCCTTCAGGTTTCGCGCGTGGTCATTTTCTATATCCGGGCCAATACTCAGGGTCTTTAAATAACTGAGAAATGAAGGTACTGCCCCTGCCTTTACCGTGCAAACACAGCTAGACCTTTGGGTGGCACACAGTAGTATAAACCAGTTGAAGTAGCTGACTTTTCTTTCGAAAAATAATAAACGTCGCGAAAAAAGTGTAAAATAATTTTAAAAATGCTAAAAAAATTCAAAAGTTGCCGAGAATTTTAAAAAATGCCGAAAATCTCAAAAGTTGCCGAGCAGCTTGTGGCGAAGCCTAGGTCCCGCCTCCTTGAGAAGTGTGCAAAAAAGTGTCGTCAATTCGAGCTCTTTAGTGCTAGATACATTGACATTCAAATAAAGTGCCTTTTTCGTTTACCTCCCAAGCTTGTTTACTAACAATAACGCTAATATGGTCTCTCTCCAGCATTTTGCATTGTTGTACAGCTGGAAATTTTTTCCAACAGTGCGCGCTCTCATTGGTTACTTCGAGGTCACCTGACATATAACAATGCAGGAGCCCATAACCCGGAGCGAGCAAGCTCCTTGCGCTCGTGTCACGGCGTTTTCAAGGGCCAGTTTATTTTTAGAACGGTTTTGGCGCAAATTTTGAATATCTTTTATATTCCACAAACCAGTCAGCAAAACCTACAGACCTAAAAATGAAATTTTTGCCTTTTAATAACGTTTAGTTTTCCTTTTTGATATCTCATACTTCGAATGGGTTCATAAATGTGGTGGAGATTTTATTTTCGCGGGAAAAAGTGCCCTAAAATGTGTCTAAAAATAAGCTGGTCCGTATGCCTAATATGGGAGCTGCTCGCTCCGGGTTATGGGCTCCTTACAATGAAAGTGTTTCCCGCCAAAATCTCTGAGCGGGCAGCATTGCAAAATCTATATGACGTCAGAAAGTAACAGTGCACTTTTACCAGCGAATATTGACAGACGACCGCCGTTACAGCGAAAGGTTAACGTTCAATGGATTTCCAGCTTCGAATCTCATATTTCCCTCCGCTCCGCGGTTTTTTGAATTTTGCTCGAACTGCTCGAACTAGGGCCTGACTAAACTTCATTCGGAGCGGCTCCCCTTCAAAATAGATCCACTAAAAACAGAAAAATATTGAATAAACGATAAGGGATAAATGCTCTCTTAACTGCTGATAACATTTCACTTCCAAAAAGTGCCCCCAAGCACCCAATGGTTAAAATAATTAGTTTTATAAAATTTATTTCAAAGCTACAAGACTTTGTATCAAGTTTTTTACCTCGCTAAAGTCTATTCAGACCTTCAACTTACTTTGCCACATGCAGGACTGAGCCTATAACCTGGCGCATGACTGTAGGATAAACCTTACCAGCCATAATCTTACACTTTGTTTGTATAGGCAATGTCAGTACTTGGGCCGGAGAAAATCGAGTTCTACTTAATAATTGTAAGCTGAACTTACATTTAGCTAAGCAAAAAAGAAATTAGTTCAATTTACCCCGAAACTGAAGTCGAACTAATGAAGCACTGTTCTGGACTGAATATTAGTCATGTGTTGATTTACACCTGCTGAAGTAAAAACCAAATAATCTTTGAAACCCATCTAGTAAATATTGTTCTCTCATCATGCGATTTGAATCTTCTCATTGAGTCGTCGCTCAGATGCTTAAAAGAATTCAGCATAACACTTTTAATAAAAAAGGCCTGACCATTAGCACTTACTTAAAAATGCCTCTTAATTTGACAAAAAAGGGATTGCACTTTTGTTGATTAAATTAAACCAAAAGAACTCTCTATTTTATTATATTTCTAATTATTTAATATTAGGCCATTGTATCGTACGGTTTTGTGGGCACGTCACTGTGACGGCCACAGATAAGCACATTTTTCGTTATCGTTAAATGATAAAGTGGTTGGCGACTATTTCATTCTTTGGTAGTAGGTGTTTCTATGGGGCCAATTTCCTCTTTATCGGCCGATATTCAGGCAATCAGCTTGATATAGGTTATGATAAAGAGAGAACAGAACGCAGGGAAAGTTAATTTCATTTCTTTCATCATTTTCCACCATTTTGAACTCATCAGCTTCGGCACAAACCGACATCTTTTAAAAAGTTCGTTGTTTAGAAACAGGAAATAGTAAGGCACAGTTTCAAACTCGAAAAAAGCTTTGCCTTTTAGCGTATTATATTGTGAAGGAGTTTCTAATAATCCCTGCGTTGAGGGACTCCTGGCGACTCAAAATCACAAACAGTCCTTCTGATCGATTCCCCGTCTTAGTTCAAATGGACGGTAAATACGACTGGTAAAGTACTGATTTTTTTTCTATTATATACGTAAGTGTTTAAGGAAAATCCTTCAATAAGAATGACCGAGACCAAGTTTTATGAGCCTGCGAGTCTGAGAGCACCCCACCCAAACCCTTGTTTTCACTAAAACCGCTGGACGCCACAACGTGGTTAAGGTCATCGCTACCTATGGTCCTCCGTGTTTAAGGGAATTATTTGCAATACTGTAAAACAAGTGAGGAAACTACAACGTCACCTGGCCCGGGGGCGGGGAAGACTTTCATAAGAAAGGCCAAGAAAGGGGTGTTCACCGAAAAATGAGAATTCAGAAAACCCGAAAGGACACCAATTTAGGCGTGGCCCAGCAAGCTTTGTTTGGCCCTAAAAGGGAGACTTAAAACAAACAACCAAGTGCGAGCTATACAGTCACAGGAGCTCCACAGTTATCTTAATTGCCAACGTAACCTCGTTTCCAGGGCTTCTTCCCTAAGGATTGGGTTGACATCGAATACTATTACCTCAATACAATTCGTGACGGCGTTTGTTTGCCAGTACACTTTTGTTTTTTAGTTTGTTTGCTTGTTTTTTGTATTGTTAATAGCTTTAATTAGTGTTTTTACCGATTAGGGACGAGAGGAGCTACTGGGACGGTATCCATGTTGGGTTACAAAAACCAGAATTCTAGTTATCGGAGTAGTTTAATCAAGGGAAACGAACAAAGTCCAGTTGAGTGTGGCATTCAAGTTAACCGAAATTCGAGTCATCCGAGTAAAAGTAACAAAAAAAGCAGGGTCAAATCCAACGGAGAAAAGACAGGAAGTTCGAGTTACCTTCCTGTGTAGATTGACAAATTGGTTGCGTCTCAAAGTGAGACATGTAAGACCAAAATCTGCAATTTACACCCCTGAGAGAGGCGAAGCGATCAACCATTCCCTTTCATATGGGGTCCCCTGGGGGACGAGGTCAGCTGACTATAAAATAACGAAAGGGTGTTTTTTTAAGAATTTGATTCGCTAAACAGGTGGAGCAGGTATTCCTGTTTATAATTTATCCTTTGCAATTAAAATGAAGCAGTAAGCTGTACGACTACGTTCCGGCAAATTTGACTTAACAGACCTCTTGGTTTTAGTTTTATTTTTTCTTATGTAAGTCGCTGGCTCGTAGCTTGGAAAGGTGAAAGCATGAAATATAGTTCTAATATAAAGTAATATACTAGAAAGAACCTAAAATTAAACGTTTTGGATAACAAAAACAAAGCGATTAGGTTTATCGACGCCGTAAAATTGCATATCACATTACTGACCCTTAGTTAATTTTTCGTTCTTGAATTTAATTTGCCAAGTCGTACAAAACATTATGCAAATTTTGAGGAATTTGTTTTCCTACCATCTGAAATCTATTTTCACGTCGCCAATAAATAAAAATTGTGTCATTTTTACCGTGAATGTGTTTCATGACAGCCTGACCCATACTGCAGAAAAATGATGGACTTAACTGAGACAACTTTAAACTCATTGTGTATTTTTCACACCTAATAGCGGACCCATGTATTTTTTGACAGCATATTTTCTCTTTTTTCATACAACCTCTATCTAAATGTTTTAAGTTCAGCCAATCAGAGGAAATGCGGTTATAACCCAACAATTTAGATAGTCAAAATACACAGACAAAAAGGCAGGAAAAAAAGCATTTTGCGTAAACAAACAAAGCAATTCACATAGTTGAAACGACGTCGTTTTCATCTTCATTTAGGCAGTGCGGATTTTAGTAAATGCAAACCTCAGAACCCTAACGTTGCTACAAAAGCGAAACGTGGCTTGCGTGTTTAATCCAAACGTTTGGACCTCAGAATATCGCCCAAAGATCAAACCTATGAGGGTCGGTTTCCGGATGGACGCAGTATTGCTAGGTATAATTTTAAAACGATAATACACAGGTCACGAATGTCACGAGAGAGCCACGAAAACAAGGGACCGCAAAGTACGAATTTCAAACAAATGGCTTAAAGGTAGATATCACCACGCAACAGAGCACCGTTTAGAAAGATTGTCTGCCTTCGAAATCAGCCGACGGATGGTACGTACTGTCGTAGTTCAGATACACATCTCGCCGATTATACCGATAAAATTCAGCTAGAAACATACCTATTTCAAATGTGTAGCTACTGCAATTTTCCACAAACAGCAACTGGTAAGCAATTTAGTAACATCATACGTGAATCGCCAATGATTTTATCACATAGACAGCACCAAGTCTAATTATTCAGTAAGTTTCCCTTTAGTTTAACTCAAGAGTCAAAGTAGTGTACTGATAACAGAACCAGCCAAAATTCACGACGTTTTGTGTTGTTTACTATTGAAGAATATCTTTCTAAAGGCGCTATAAAGGCTGTTTCATTATTTGCAACAGTCGGGTGCAAATGTTGTTTCAGCAAGAGGAACGACAACTAATTTACCTTTCCTACTGCCAGAAGCGCCATAACAATTTTGTTTATCTTGAACAAAACTAGTTGTTTATCATTGTCTTTAATGGAAGAGTCTTGATAAAAAAAAACCTGACACCTGTTTTGCTTAGATTATAGGGGAGGTATAAAATTATATAGCCTTCCAAAAACTAGGGTACATTTCCTCAATTATCCGACACTTTACTTATACAGTTCGGTTAATGAGTGCATGACGGGAAGTTAAAGCCAGAAAAACCCCCAAAAGGAAGGAAAGAGTCGGTCTTCTAATGTAAGGGGTTGGATACGAAGAATATTATGAATGGCCTAAAATTAAACCTGAGACTGTTTAGAAATGTAATTTTCGAGAATCGCAAAATTAATATAGAGGTTACGACCGTTTTTTAAGCAATTTTCTATTTGCGAGGCTTTCATGACACGGTCGAGTTTGTACAACTTCAAAGGTTCGTAAAACACGGAAGTAGACTTCGAGTCACTGGCTATCATTGGATGCCAAACGTTTATTGAACTAGTCAGACTATTTTAGCAGTATCATTTCGTAAGCAAAACTGGTCCGGAATAAACATACTGAAGAAAAAAGTCAACGTTAAACAAAACAACATCAGTGTATATAGACAAATTCAAGCAATGAATTGGCATTTCAAAGTTCAACGAATTGATATTAATTAGGAGAAAGACGTCGTTAAAATTAGTGAATACTTTCCTTTGGTGTCTGACCGCAATAATCCAATATACCGGTATGTTTAAGACCGGTCCTAAAACGTTCGAAAACGAATATTGAATTGCACGTTGTCAAGCGAGTAAAACTCTATCACATGCTACAAACACAATCGCCTGTGATATTTTCGGTCATCGTTTTCATTTTGATGCGTTTTCGACCTTTTTCGACGGTTCACACTTACACGATATGTTGTGCATTCGTTTTGATCCACTTTCAAGAGAGTTTTCAAATCGACGCGTTTACGATGAAAACGCTCGGCGTATTAGTTTGGACTGAAGGCCTAAGCGCATCGAAATGTATGAGGGGTTTTCAAACGAAATCGCATTAGTGTTGACGCGGTCTACGTGAAACGCCCAGTTTCGTTGCTAAATTCGGAATATGCCAAATTTAGCAACTGCGCAGGAACTTCTAATTAGGATCACTTGAATAGTTTATTAATAAAACGACAAGGTTTGTCATTTATTATTTATTTACTGGCAAGGAAACTTGATCTGTACGATTCACTTAGACTGTTGGTAGAAACTCCAGCTTAAGTTTTCAGTGCAACATTTGAAGATTGCATGGTCTTCCAACAACCCCACATCGCTTACAAAACCACTGCCTTAAACGTGCGGGTAATGTTTTCATTACCTATGCGGATTTTATCAGAATTATTAAGTAGAGGGAGAGTATACGTATGGATCACAACAAATTTTATTATTTCAACAGGCTAGCTACTTCTTCTAGTAATGAGTTTATTCACGTTTTTTGACAAAAAAAACGTTCTGCAAGCCCGATCAAAACCTGAAAACTGTTGACAAATAGCGCCGACTAGTTATTGCCTATTTCAAACACTAAGAACCTTTTCTTCCAACAGCACATAATTATTGACGGGTACTGAATCAATCTTTAAACAGTGAAAATGACAATTAGTCATTCAGTCTTCGCTTTGTTTTTTCTAAAAATACAGTTTTCCAACCTGTTTTCTTCGTTTGAACTAAAGATTCCTTTCTTATTTCAGGCCTGACTAGCAGTTCTGCAACATTCTGTAAACGCACATAACACGGCAAAGTAACTTAACTAAGAAGTATTAGATTTCCTCTTTGAAGTGGTAATTCCAGTTTAACGGCTAGAGTCAAAACAAGCGTGAAATAAAAAGACAAAAGAAAAGAAGTAGAAGTATAGAAGCGGCGAAACATTTGCTAAAAGAAGAGTACCATGGTTAAATTTCGTTTTCATTTTCCTTTTGTTTTTTGGCAAATCTTTGGACGGCTACTCGAGTAATTTGATGAACAAACAGAAAGGAAACAAAATATAAAAGATGTAACTAAAAGGAGTCATCTCAGCGAGAGGGGAAGGCCCGGCCTCACAGACTTACCAGGCGAAGCTAACAAAACATGCAAAACAAAGATAAAGGAGAAAAAGAAAATTGGACAGCAGAAAAATTTAACAACTGTTTTGAGTCACCAACGGACGGAGTTACTTCACTGAGGTAATTTTTAGTTGCCGACCGGGCAGGCTGGTGCCTTTCCTGTGTTTTGAGTTGCTTTAAATCATGTTAAAGGTTCCAGGGCTAAAATCATCAGTTCTAGATCTCTTGATCTCTTGAACTGGGAATATATTACGGTTTTGTCTCCTGATTTTGGAAAAGAAAAAAGCGAAAACAGTCAAAATTTGAAAGCCTTTCCGACCGCGGCAGTTTACATTTTTCGTTCAAAACGTAGCTTTTCAAGTCATAGTCTACATCGACTAGTGATACAAATTTTGAATTGTTGGTATTTGCGGCTCCGCTTGTTCCCGTGCCCTTCGGCCTTAGTTTGGGAATGGAAAGGAAATGAAAGCACACTGTTTTGTTTTAGCGATATTATTGATAACTCCTTTAACGCGAACATTGCCTGCTTAATTACTTTGAACCGGGGGCGGCCAAACTCTCGCGACATGCAATGTAGCTCAATGTTAGACCGCGAGCAGTAAGTTCTTCTTATCTTTTCAAAGATATTGAATTGGGGTAGCACGCGTTACACGTACACGCAAGAGGAGGGTAAAATAACCCGTTACGCCTGGGATTGCTCGAGATCCCGGCGAATTTCAAAAGAAAAAGGTAAGCGGCGCACAATTCGAGAGCACTCTATTCATTGTTTGTATAAACAGAAGGCCACTTAAAACCCATAGATTTCAGCTTTGAAACGTTTATGTTGATCTAAAGGGTAACTTTAATATCTGGTGACAGATCATCAGAGATAAAATGTTTAGCGTTCTCGCCTCCTCGTCCGGTTTTTCTCCTTCCTGCCTTTTCCTTTTTTATATTTATTCCTTTGTTTGTTTATTGCTTGTTGTTGTTATTGCTGTTTTGTTTTTGTTCAGTGCAAATCTATAGCAGCATCAGTAATAAGTGACATTGTTATTAATATATTTTAAACTCTTTTAACATCTTGGAGGGGATTGAGTGACTTCAAATTGGGAGAGGATCGGGCAATACTTTCTCATTGTTTAACACGCATGTGCACCGTTTTATGGCTTTTAAAAATAGTTCATTCATAAAAAAAGGCAGTCCCCGCGTATACGTCCTATTCACCCACTACATATGTTTTCAACCCCCAGTTTTAAGGATCGTGCGCGGACCTTCTTAAAACTGAGAACTTGAGAAAATTTGAATGGAGTGCTCGACGCCCATGTACCGGTGGCACTTTGGGTTCTAAGATTTGATTACAAAAATATGTCTCTACATCATATTGGACTGAGCGAGAGTCCTTTAAAAGTCATCCGGTACTTCCCTCTTCTGGTTCCGTTTGGGACATTTAGTGTCGGATGTGGTTGTTCGACCGACGCATCAATTGTTATGGATTTTCAATTCCGGCTAGATTTCTTAGTTATCAGCTTAAAAGTTTGTCATTCTGTCGATCATTGTATTCATAGGTTATAAATTTTAGTTATCAATTTGATTAAAAAAGTTCATTCGTTATCCGAAAGTTAAATTTTGACCAGTTCAGTGCTATAAAACTTCATCCACAGTTTTTTGCCATTCTGTAGTTATTTCCTATTCTTTCCGTAGTTATATTCATTTTTTTATATGCACACAGACATATATATTTCTTCTTTAACAAATTAAATATTTCATTTGGCAAAACTCAATACAGGTAATTATTGGAGGCTGCGAGTTCGATGGTCGCTGTATTAAAATTCAAATTCCGTTTTAACTATATGCCAAAACAAATATTGATAAGTCTGTGATGAAAACCGTGTGCTAAAAGCCCGCCTGTTGACAGCTACAGATGTTTCGATCAAATAACCACTTTAAGAAATAGTTTGGAACGTCAATAGCTTTTTACGTCACACCTCTTGATTGGGTGCAGTCGGCTTCGCAGTTATAATTTTGCGTCGCATCGGCGGAAGAACAGATACACTGAGTTGTCGCAGTAAGTTAGACTTCAACTGAGGCCAAATTGATGCCTATCTCTGATGCCAGTGAGGTCAGTGAAAGTATTGCTGGTTTAATTCTAGAAGAACAAATAGTTAAGGTGACTCTTTATGTTTTCAGGACCTAACATTTTTAAACTGATTTCTGTATGCAATGCAAGCTCTGACCCGTCCGTCCGAGAATCAAACTAATCATTTTTATTAAAATTTTAATACTTGTAGTTTAAACTAGCTTCATTCACCCGAAAGTATTTTTTGGTGACAGTCGTTTCCGGTGACAATATGCATCCCGTTTCTAGTTTCTAGCTTTGGTTCGTTTCGTTATAGCTTTTAAATTCAGTGTCTCAGTCCAGGCCCGGTTGATACATTTAAAATCTGTCTTTTAAAACTCTGTTTCAGTTTGGGTTAATTGACTTTTTGACACCTTCATTTGCAAACTACGCAATGTCGTATAATTTCCTGTTTGGTTCAGCCAAATTAAAATAGAGGGAATTGATAAGGGCTTGTATATATTAAATTCGGAAACGAAAACAAACTTCATCCACAATCTTAGTAGTTTCTGGTAGACTCAGGATCAGCAGACTTTTTCGATAAGGACCCATTTCCACATAATTTACTATAACAACTTCACTTAGGTATGGTAATAATTGTCTTTATTTAACCCCCCGTGAGCGTTTCACAAAGTTTTTCCGCTTCTATAAAACGCCGTTTCTACAGACTTTTCATCTACTGTTAAAAGTAAACAGTTTCGATAAAAGTTGCTGGAACGCGGTTGGACATATAAATAGAACCGTCTAAGCTCGACAGTGCTTTAGAGATTTTTTCGTGATGCACTCACGTTGCGAGACGGCGCGGGCACGTTCGAAGAAAGTTTAGCCCGCGCGTCACGGAGGCGACAGTGATTACGCGACTCTTCTGTTTCTTGTAAGTTACGGATCCGCCGGTAGCGAAGCGCGACGGCTATCTATTTTCATCGTAATTTGTTCTGCATTAATATTGCTGATGATTTCTCTACTGAGATTAACTATTTTGAATTATTAACTTTGCTCATTCTTAGTTAAATTTCTGTATACAGGCCCCGTGCTTCCCAGATGTCATGGAGAATCATTCTGAAGCAGTGATCGTATCGTAAGACGCTCAGTGATCCGATTATGACGAATGCTACAGAGAATTCGACATCGTATCCATGCTCCAACCCTCCTCTCAATGCTTCTCTCTGGGCCTCCTTGATATTTTTATTCCTAATCGGTGCGTTCGCGATTTTCGGAAACGCGTTGGTGTGTGCGGCCTTCGCAACGAACAAGCGTCTTCGTATTTTGACCAACTACTTCGTGGTATCGCTAGCAGTTTCTGATATTTTGGTTGGCAGTATCAATATTCCTCTCTGGATGTACATCAGGAGCTCCGAGTAAGTGGAAATTTGTGTTGTTATCTATGCACCCCAAGCTAAAAGCAATTTAGAAACAAAGCCCTTGTCGCTCTATCGCCGTTGTAAATAACCTCTTCATTAAATCATTCAAATGTCCCCTTGGGACCTATCACGACATTCCATGTTTAAAAGAATATTCTGTGCTAAAGCGAGATAAATATAAGCTTCCTTTTTAAGCACCGGATGGAAGCAATTTGAACTGGCATAGCTTCAGGATGAAAATCGAAGCAAGGGAGTAAGATCATTGTTATTATTTGAAACAACAACAACAACAGTCACGCCAAGAGAAAAATCGCTCTTTTTCGCTAAATCCACCCTTGAAACAGTTTATTTTAATGGTATTTTATTATTTAATCCTTCAATATCTGCAATTGCTCTTAGAATGATATAATGGTAAATAGTGTCCGCGACTGAACACGAATACATTACAACGCTTCAAGACCTCAAAATAATACAATTCTGCGGGGGATTAGGAATCAATTTTCAGCCCGTGTTATTTTTAGTGAGGTTTATATGCAGCTAGCACGGTCAGAGATAATTGCGAGAAATCCTAAGTATGTGACCCGTAATTCCAAAGATTAGAAATTTTATCTCTTTGCATTCAGTACTTTATTTTTTGTTTACATGTCTTAATTTCCAAGCAAGCTCTTATTTAAGGATGCAAATGAAGTTAAATGACCCAACAAGGGTCTTTTTTAATCTTTTACGTTGGCTTTTTCGATAGATTTCAAGGGTGTATGCCTTCTGTTGCTTTTATATGTCTACCTTTACTACGTACCAAGCCTAACAACTCGAAGTTTGAGGAATATTTCATATAGTTTAGTATGTAAAGATAATTTAGTAAAAACAGTACGGATACCCCCCACTAAACAAACAATGTCTGCAAACGTCAAACGGTTTGACTTGTATTTCTTTCTTTTCAATTTATACTTCAACCGCTTGGTCTCGCCACTTGTCGTGAACGCGTATTTTTACCCAAACGTTAATAAATTACAGGGTAACACAGAATTACGCGAAGAGAAACAGAAGTCAATTTTCTTTTTAACTTTGTTTGTTTTTTATATCATTAAAACTCATTGCATGTCTTATTTGTGTGTTTTTAGATAAAATTTGCGCTGTTAGTCAGCTTGAGCCACGCCCAGATGGTCTCAAACAAGGGTTAAATTCAAAATTTCCGACGAGCATCATTTTTGAAACTTGACTTTTAGATGATCATAGTGGCAAGGGTGAAATTGACTTTTGATGATCATTTTCCTTTCTGGGCTTTTTCCCTTACGAGGTTCTAATTCAAAAAATTTAACAAAAAAAATATAGCTCCCGCCATTTTTCTGATCGAAACTGCTCTAAAAGGCCCTCTTTGAAAAAGTTACCTCCATCGGCAAATCTACTGTAGTCTATAAGGTCCTATAACTTCGGTGTTTTAGATATAAGAAAGATCGGAGAGAATTTTTAACCCCCAAAAGATAGGATGAGCACCTTCTTCAATTTTCAGGGTACCCCCCCAGATTTGGGAAATCAAAAAGAAAAAAAAAAGCAATTCTCAGCTGCGGGGTAACCCGTTAACAGGGGTTTACCGCAAGTAATCGAACGTTATCGCCCCGCCTAATGAAAAATGACCGCAAAATGAAAAATTCAGTTGCAAAATGATAGAAAGTTTTTGGTGAAATGTCCGAGATATGTCCAGGATTGACTGTAGTTTTCGCAAGGTCATCGCGAAAAATCCGGTTAATTTGTAAATATCGTTGCAGAGTTCAACCTGGACATAAGGGAAATATCCACCACTGAAAAAAATTCGACCTTTAGTTTGTGGATAAGTCATGTTATTACAGTCAACTCTCCTTATAGCTGACACTGTTGGGACCTCGAGTTAGCGTCCTCTTTAGTGAGAGTCCGTAATAGCGGGAGTTTATTTCAGTCAAACGTCTGTAATTTGTTTTTGCCAGGGATTTAGCTACTGTCCTTTTTATCGGGGTGTCCGTTATAGCGAGGTGTCCGTAGGGCGAGAGTCCCGGGAGGTACTCCCTATAATGGTCTATACGGGGAGGCTCCGTCCGAAACGGGTACCTTTATCAAGCTTCAGGTATATGAAAGGGTTGGAATTTTACTCATTGAGCTATACGAAAGGGTAGGGAAATCTGTCATTTGGGTCTGTGAAAGGGCTCAAAAGGCTAACAGATGAATTTTATCGACAAAATGTTCTATTTTTGTGATCCCTATTTAAACGACAGCGCATTTTACAGCAGCTAAAAGGGATGCAAAGTTCTAAACAAGGTATGTGGAAAAGGGGTACCATTTGTCAATAGAAGGTATACGAAAGGGGTACCTATTTCGTAAAAAATGGTACATAAACGGGCAAGGGGTCCGACCTCGGGGCAGAACCTCCCCGTATAAAAATTTGTTGAGTACCCCCCCCCTGGGGCGAGAGTTGACTGTATATGGCGGAATCCGCGAACGGGTATGATCAGAAGCGAATCCTGCGTTCTCATTGGCCACCCTAGCATCTTGCCCTCTCGGTATTTCCCGCGAGAAAGAGTTACCAGTGTCCGCTATAAAGGGAGTTGACTGTAGTTCGGTCAAGATAGCCTGATAATCTGTTTTTTTTTGCGTCAGTTTTCATTGACCTCAACTTCGTCGCGGTCCCTAAAGAACTTGGCCCGAAAATCCAGCCATTTTGACTTCCCGCTACCGCTCAAAAACGGACATTTCTCAATGGGGTTAATCCCGACCAACCGTACATACTGTCACTGCGTTGGTAGTATCAACTTTGAATTTCCCCTCGGTATAGCTGGTCAATAGGATAGGTGAATTGTCACTCGCACTGCGTCCAAATACCTGACACATTTTTAGTGGGATTTCATTAAAAAAAAAAAAACATTTCGTGAAAAAATCACAGCCTGGGGCCACCACAGTGTGGGCTAAAGACGAAAACAGAGTGAAACAGCAAAAAAAATTGAAAAAAAAAAAATTGGCTAGCGAAGAGAGCCGAGGGAAGGACTGGGAAGGAGGAAAGGTTGGCGTCACCCTTTCCCTTTCCAAGACCACCGCTCGGCTTGCTTCGCTCGCCAAATTTTTTGTTTCGCCCTATCCAATTTTCCCTTTTCACTTTTTTCTCCCACTGCAGAGCCTAGTCCCGGGCTATTGGAAAAAGGGCAAGGATGTATAAAACGAATATTATTTGTAACTGTCTTTTAATTTTCCTAAAACTGTGTAGTAGGTTTATGTTAACGCGGGACCAGAAGCCTTATGAGATCTGCTCCCAACTCCACTGTGATTAAATAGTTTAGTTGATAATTATTAAAAGTATTGGAAATGCCAAATGTGTAACTGTTTCTTTTTCGTCTCAGTTACTGTAGAAGTAACCGGCCATTGTACGAGTCTTATGTTATATTTGACATCTTATGTGGTACAGCGTCGATTTGGAACATGACTGCCATAAGTATCGACAGGTTACGTATAACTTTTCTTCTTAATACTCAGAGTAGTTAGTTTTGCCGCATGTAAGAAAATCTGGAAATGTTGCCTTCTGGAATCTGGAATCTGGAATCCTGGGTTTTGGGATCCAGGATACAGCCCAAAGAATCCGGAATCCAACTAAAGATTGGAATCCAGAATTCCACTGACAGAGAATCTGGAGTCTACTTCATAGAATTCGGAATCCACGGCGTGGAATCCAGGATCCAACTCTGTCTTAGAATTCCTTACATGGAGCCATTAGTCAATACATAATAACCATAGTGACAGTGGTATCCTGTTTTTAGAAAATGACTGTAGAGGGATTGACGTCACAATCAAAGTATGCAGGCCGCCCCCGTCGTATTATGGGTCCGTTTGCACCTTTTTGCCAAAAAATCGTGTTAATAAAGTCTTAATGCTTTGTTTTTAACGTTCACATTCCTCGTTGGACAGGTGCTTAGAACAGATTTCGTTGCTAAATGTTATTTAGTGACTAAATCATGACTGACTGACTAACGGACTGGCCTAATTTATTGACTAGACTAACTCACATCCAACTCACTTGAATAGTGTAACTATAGCGAAGAATTTCGTTTGGTTTGCCGGCCAATGTGTGAGTGAGCGTCATGTGAGCGCTTTACTGCTGCATAAGGTAGAAATGCATTTACGATATACTCAGGGACACCCAACGACAATTTTCGGAAAATATCTGTTCGGAAGACGATTTGAGATCTAGAATTTTCGGAACAGTTGTTGCAAAATTTCTTGCTTGCCTGCCTCTCCTAGGATTTTCGAAGTTCTAAAAAATGGTCTAATTGCCTATTTTTAACAGATTTTTACCCTAAAAAGGTCACCTAGAATTTTCGGGAGCCTTTTTTCTAGCTGGAATTTTCGAAAAGGTAAGTTTTGATCCCTATAATTTTCGGATCACTAGACTTTCAGCTAGGAAATCCGAACAGATGAAAAATTTTTAGGGGATAAAAATATGCCTATATCTATCATTTAAATACTAAAATACGTTTAACAATGGTATGTTTAAGTGGTTTTGAACTATATTCTCGTTGGGTGCCCCTGTATACTTTATAAAAGTAAACACGGTACTATATACTACGCACTTGACGGACTGGCTGACTGTCGACTAATTACTGACCCATGATTGACTGACTGACTGACTGACTAACTGACTGAGAATCTACCTGACTGAGTGTCTGACTGACTGACTAACTGAATGAATGAATTACTGACTAATTGTCTGACTGACTGCTGACTGACTGACTGACGACTGACTGACTAGCTGACTGTCGTACTGATTGTCTGTCTGACTGAACTGCTGACTACTTACTGACTAAATGAGTGATTGCTTGACTGACTGACTGAACTGCTGACTGATTGATTGACTAACGGATTGCAGTGATTATTGACTGACTGACTGCTATCTGACTGATTAACTAACAGAGTGACTGCTGTCTGACTAAAGGACTGACTGACTGACGGACTGACTGACCGACCGACCGACTGGCTAACTGACTAACTCTTTGACTTATTATCAGAATTTCGTTTTTATCAAGCCAAAGAAATTCACAAGTTGTCTCCAAACATTATCGAATGTATTCTTTTCATTTACAGATTCGCAGCGGTAGTTTACCCAACAGTTTACAAACATCGTATGAAAAACACGAAAGTCGCGGGCTGGACAGTCTTAGGCGTATGGTCCTTTTCTATGTTCATCGCCGCATTTCGAGTGGAACATAAAAAATTCAACTACGCTTTATTTGTTGTGGTCCTCGGTTTCTTGATTCCCCTTCTCATAATACTTCTCTCCTACGGAAACATTTACCGCGTGGTGAGCTATCGAGCAAAATGGACTGGGTCGGTTTTGATTGAGATAAAACTGGCGCGAACACTCTCGATTGTGATTGGCGCGTTCATTGTCTGCTGGGCGCCATTTTTTATCACCATTGTAGTGTCGTACTATTGTAGGGTTTCATGCAATTGGGAGGATACCATACAGTGGATAAAGTGGCTGCAGTATGTAAGCTCTTGTATTAACCCTGTTATATACACTTTACGGAATCGCGAGTTTCGTTTCACCTTCCATAAACTGATTTTCCGGTGTAGCTACAGAAACGGCAAGTATGTGTTCAATCCACATGCAAAGCGGGGTACGAGGTGTGGTTGCTGTCAACTTGGAGACACGTTTGACGAGGAGTACGGAGAGCGTCGTTCTCGATATCCTACTTATACTGAGGATTCTACGTGGCATAGCTCGCATGTTCGACATTCATCGACACCCACCAAGCAACAGTCAACGCCGTTGGCATTTGATAATTTGTCTACCACTAAGTAATTAGGATCTATGGGTGACATATCAGATTATTTTAATCGAATAACAAGAAAGACAACTTATCTGAAAATGACTGAGTCCAAATTTGAAATCCGGTGGGGGGAGGGGTATCCCTGGGAATTCCTGTTTAGGGTGTGTCGCCCGATTCTCCAAATCCTGACCTTATTTCAGACCAGAAAATTTTCATTTTCCACATTCGTTTTCAGACCTGGCAAAAAAACATACCCGTCTTCAGACCTGGCTCAAGCAGAAATTATGTTATCATTACTTAGATTTGAACGCCAACTAAAAGATTTCTTAAAACTATGTCGAATTCGCATATTACTCTTTCTTTTTTATTCATTTGGAATTGAATCGACAAATACGTTCATGCGTTCCCTGATTCCCTAGAAAGCCGTTACCGAATTCAGACCAAACTAGAAGCCTATATTCGTTTTCTGTCCAAACCTGCGCAAAAACCATACCCTTTGGGGCGGCACATACCTATAAGGTAAATATAAGGGAGTACCCCCGGGGTTTGAAATTAAACATCAATGACTGTAGAAATACATATTGCTGAGCCTATAGGAACGCCAAGTACTTAACTCCTGTGATGTGAAAATAGTTGCAAGGCATCCAGACAAAACACATTGCACCGGCGTACTGTGTTAAAAGATGTCTTTAAAACACACAGTCGAACTTACAGTAGAACCTTTACTAACGGCCACCCAAGAAAAGATAGTGAGACATTGTAGAGTTCTAGGATGACGTTTACAACAAGCTGCAGAAGTCACATTGTACCATCTGACCAAGTTTTTTACTTGTCATATACTGTTTATTATCGTGTATTATAAAATATTTAGTGTCCTGTAAATTTCATTCGTAAGAATTAATTTGGACAGTTTTTGTTTGGCAATTTCAAAATTTGGAAGACTAACAAGAATCTATGCCATAATCCCCTCTTGCGGCTTAAAACACGGTCGAACCCCTACTTCCGTCCACCAAAAGAGGATAGTGGAACGTAACATGGAGCTTAAGCGAAGGTGTATTTGAGCGACGCACGCCAAGCGGAAGTAAGGCATTTTCTCTTTTATAAATATCCCTCAACGCTCCCTAATTTGTATTTCTATGACGTGTCTTTACTCTTATAGGGACGATTTGTCCGAACCTTTGGGTAAAACCGTTTGCTAAGGAGGTAAAAAGTCTAGTTCGGTTGAGTTGACGTGCAGTAGCGGAACCAGGGGAGGGGCCCGGGAGCCCCCACCCTTATCCAAGGGTCTGGATGACCGCCCCACCCCCCTCCCCCCCTCCTTTATCTTAAAGGTCTGGATCCGGCACTGACATGCGTCGCTCAAATACACTTAAGCTTACTAATGTTTGTTTCTCCCTCTCCACAACGGCCACTGTTTTGGTTCTAGCGGAACTAGTCACTTTTGTTGTGACCTGATTACAAACTAAAACGGCCATCTCCCAACAACAGCCGTAGTACTGACTTCAGTCTCTAAGGTTACCGTTGTGGAAAGGTGTGACTCTAGTTTCAAGATAATCTTGTTTGCCAGGGACTGCGAGTCATATTAAAAAGGAGCTGAAGCAACGACGACGGTGAGGGCGAAGGCGACCGCAACGAGAACGATAAAAAAGCAATAGGTTTAGATAAGCAAGACAACAACTCTGCACGCTTATCGTGGATTTTTTTTGGTACATTTCTTTGGCGTCAGTGCACGACTACGACGTGAAAATGTCTAATTTCACGTTATGTTGTGGACGTGAACACAACACAACGCCTTTTTTTACTTTTCCATAACTTCGATACAAACATTTTAGAATTCAACTCCCAAAACAATTTGAAGGAGATGAATTAAACTCTCTAATGATGGTCACAGGAGAACCCTCTCTTACTAAAATTACGTTCGTAATTTATTTTGACTGTGCGTAATAAGAACTCGAAGCCCTTCGTACATTTTCTGGGTGCCTGTATTTTTCAATGCAGCCCAATCCAGAGGTAACCTGGAACTCTCGGGTTCAAGTCCAGCTGTGACTGGTTTCCCGGTGCTTCAGAGTTCAACTCCTTGGCCACAGTTGTAAATACAGTTTTATTATGGCTGAGCCATGCATATGTAGAAGAGTTGAAAACGAATCATAGATACATAGGGCAGTTGTCGCCAAGAGATGAAAATGTATAATATTATTTAGTCCAGGAAATGTACGTTTATTCATCCAGGATAATTTTTTTATAATGTAAGATAGGTAGCTACATGTTTTAAAGAGTTAGGATAGCTTAGAAAATATTTGGAATTTTATTTGTTCGCTTTATTTGCTGCTGTTAAAAAAATCCCCGGCGATCGCTGTACCCTCGGGGAAGGACCCCTTTTAAATATCCCTTCAGCATAACTTCGTTCGCGCCTGTTCAGTCCGCAGGCTTTATCTCACCTAATAAAGCTAAAACAACAACGAATCAGTGAGAAGTGGTGTATCTAGTGCAGCCCCGAACTTTAGAAAAAAAAATCTTGAATGCTAATGAAAAAGAGATTAACTGATTCTTACGGCCAGACGATTAAGAAAACGTGGAAGAAATGAAATGGCATTCAATAAAACCTGTCATTATTGCTTGACCTTCCATGCAGATTTTCTTAGAGCTTCCTCACATGTTTATTCATGTTCAAAGGAACAGCTGACCTTTACTGGTGTCCTCTTTATCTATATCTCCGCTAAATACAGGCTTGTTATACAGGGGAGAAGGAGTATCTCTGGCAGACAGTTAAGCTGCATCCAGTGTTGCAATTAGGTCGCCAACCGAGCAAGTAGCTACGGGAGCGGTATACATGTATACTATAGAAATACTTCCACCTTACGCTTTCCTTGTTAATCTCGTCCTAGATCTCACACTTATTGACTTGGAATCTGGAAAAGAGATTATTATCCCGTTTCTCCGACCACGTCCCTATTAGGCGAGCCTTTATCTACATTTATTGCCTTATTTATATACAAAGTTGATCAAGCTATTAAGGTAACACATCTGAATATTAAACAAGCACCGGCGCCCCAAGCACTTTTTCCCTTGAAGATGAATTAATTTTTAACACGCGCTCACATATAACTTAGTTTGGGACGCCTGTGTACTGATGGGGAAGCTGATTGTTGCTGTTTTTTTTTAATGATCATCATCTTATTCAGACAAGGAAACGAACTGAAAGAAAAAGAATAACTTTTACTTTAAAACAAATAAATAGGGAAAAAAAATCTTCCTTATGCAAAAAAATTGCTCTTAGGTAATAAGACCAAAGCATTCGAGAATCTTACGTCCTAAATATTTGATTCAGGTACCTCCATTCCAATAATTAATAAAGATAACATTAACTACTTTAAAAAAACTTGAGTTTAGTCTGGTATTAATTACGCCTAAGTTTGCCTGAAAATGTTCCAGAAAGAATTAAAATACATTTTACAAAATGCTGAACAATTAATAACGAAGATAAACTTGCATGGCAACATATGCAAACGGCAAATGCGCTTCAAGTCAATGCTCATGCACACGCATATGGCGATTCAGGTTTCCTGACTGCGAAAACTTGAGCTGGCAAATCTTGCACTTGTACGGCTTCTCTCCAGTGTGAGTCCGCAGGTGTTTGGTCAGCGTGGAGCTGTCAGCAAATCCACGGGAACATATTTTACAGCGGTATGGACGCTCTCCAGTATGCGTACGCATGTGGGTGGTCACTGAAGAGGACTGGGCAAACCTAAAGATGGTACAGAAGTAAAAATTCGAGTTCAACCTATATCTTTCCTATTCTTTTTAAATATAGGGCCAAGAATGCCTGACTATGACTGATTTTTAAATTATAACGCGTATTTACTCCCTTAACTTAAAAAGGTCCAGTTCCTTGACGTAATTCGCTTTGCGAATGAACAATACTCTCGCGTCATTACAAAACGAAATTCCAGATAAAAAGAAATGTATCAACTTTCTAATTTCTACAGTGTGTCTCGAAATGACAGATAATTTGTTTTGAAAACTATTCTTCTTTTCATGGCAACGATACACTTCATAGAATAAAACTACACAACCTGTTTTTGATGCACTAGTCACTGAGTTCTGCTGGTGCAATCAAGGTGAAAGAGTTAAACTGTAATAAACTTACCAAAGTTCTACTTTAGCCTGCATTGCACCGGGTGTTTATATTTTTTATTTAATTTAATATTTCTTCTCTTTGATATTTAGGACTGAGAAAAGGTCTTTCGAATTGTTTCCATTACTTTTTCATTTTTATTCTAGCCCGAGCGCTCATTTTCTCTCGCTGGCTGATGCGATAACGAGCTGAATTTCTGCCGTCTCCTTGCGTCGCAAACTTCCAAGAGAGATGATGTCTCTCTTGGGAGTTTGCGACTTGAGGAGACGGCTGAAATTCGGGCTAACTGCTAACTGCAACTTCTATTTGGTCACTTCTGCATTAATTTTTACTTACCTGCGATCGCAAACCAAACATTTGAATGGCTTTTCACCCGAATGGATTCGCAGATGGGCTGTTAGATTAGCATCTTGAGAGAAGGATTTTAAACAGATGTGGCACTGATATGGCTTCTCTCCAGAGTGGGTGCGCATGTGTGTTCGCAAGGTGGACGGCCGGGCGTACACTTTATCACACAGGCGACACTTGTTAGGCTTGGACCCTAATTGGCTGGAGCTATGACCGTGAGCTTGAAAAGTCTCCTCCTGAAAGATCTCCCCCGAGCAGAAATCCTGAGGACACTCGGAGTCGCTTTGGCTACCTATCGCACTTGACAGGAACGCTGCAGTATCAGTTGGAGAGGAAAATCCATTCAATGGTAGATGACTGATCTAACGAAAATATAAAACAAACGAGAAATACGGCGTTCACTGCATGTGACGAATATAGTTTCCTGGCTGCCTTATCCTATTAAAGATCATATGTGATGATATTAAAGCTTCCTGAATTGGAAATATTCCATACGTCGCAGGCAATCTATATTTCCAACAAAAAATATTCGTTTTCTGAGAAGAACACGTAATCGACGAAGGCCATATAAAAAAGGGTAAGTAATGTCTAAGAGAAAGCCAAAACGAAGCACCTTCAGGCAAAAAGGAAGAAAGTTAAAAAGGGCAGCATAAAGGCCAGATTCTTTTTTAATTTTGTCTCAGTTTCATAATTAAATTATGACTTGTCTCTTTGCTTTGAGTCGATGGTATTGCCATTCAGAGTGATAAAGAAGAATTTAAAATAAATGATTAGATTTAAGTCACCCTTGGGCAAATAAATTACAAACCTGTTGCTGCGTAATTGAAGGATCACTTCCAGGAGGGGTCCACTGTACCACTTCCAGTGGGGGTCCCATCCTAGCGCTCCTTTCCGCCGCTGCGTGTTTGAGGGACAAAAGGATCCCAGCTGCGTTAAACCAAGCATCTGCAGGGTCCTCTGAGGAGGGTGGTTGTTCTGGAGGGGGAGGACTGGGGAAAAAGGGTAAGTAAATTAATAACCTATGCGTCAGGTGTTTGGAGGAGACGGGATAGGAGTGATTCAAGAGTTATGAATTAAGAGCGCGTGAGGCGGGGGGGGGTAAGGGATGTGCACTAATTTGTGGTCCCTTTCCCTCCTTCCTCGAAGGCATAGTGCGTTCTCACTGGTCATGGCTATATTACGAAGATAATGCTCTTTCAGGTGAATTTGGTGCACAAGTCATTACTTAGGACCTTTCTTAATACACAAAATGCTCTTGCAGAGTGATGAAGAACGAGGCATCAGACAAATTGTATCAGGGAGCATCAACCATAGTGTTGTTTTAGTGATTTTTGCCGGCCTAGAATTAAAACATTACAAAACAGAAAAGAAACTGGGCCCGAGTGGTGGTGAATATTTTTCCGCAAAGAGACAATTGAGTTTCCTACAGAACAGGGCCCTAATGAAACTGACGTTTTAGTCACGGAAACCCTACATGTATGCCTCATTTCTGGCAGTAGAATATCAGTAAAGTAGGGTATAGTGGAGTGTTGAGTACTTTCGCTGCAAATAAATAAATAAATTAGCGTCGCCTGTAGTATCAGGCTTTTTTACATTGCAAACTGAACTTTATTGGAATGTAGTGTCAGTGGTAAAAACAAACAAACAAACAACTGAAATAGTTGGAATTCAGGTGTTATTTCAGTTTAGTAGAGTGACTTCAGTATTCAGACAATTCAGTTGCAGTGTTAGCCGATTGCCCTAATTTGTGGTTTACTTCTTTTCTGTCTTCGATTGGCCTTTATTACAGAGCCTGTTATTCAGGCAGTTGTTGCTGATAATAAGACTCCTTCCTGAGACGTAAACTGTTGAAGCAAAAACTTACAGCAGTATCTCTTCAGACCGCGAGTGGTCATTCTTCTTAATTTCTTTACAGCCACGCCCGGTAAAAAAGAGGAGAGATTGGGGCGGAGAGAGGAAAAAGTCAATTAAGGAGGCGTGAAGAGCAGCAGATAGCCAGATCAAAGACCCTATCGCAGCCTCTTAGTTTCTTTCCTCGGACCTCTACCCTCGCGTTCCTCGCGCACGGCTTAGCCGCTCGCCCCTCCATTATCGTCGTGCTTTCGATCAACCGTGACTCAAAAGATAAATATGAGACTGCTCGCAACCCAGTATTTCCTATTTCCTATTTTCAGTGTGGGTTCATGTCTCGAATCATTGAATTCGTCTTTAAAGAAATTAAGCGAATTACTTTTTACATAGTAGTTGAGGATCTAGAAAATAAATTGTCGAAACTCGCAGATCCCTACACCTTAACCACCACCACCCCCCCTAAAAAAGTTAAATAGTTGGCTCAGGCGTCCTTTCTTAATTTTACACCAATCATATTATTGGATGCTTTTGATTGATAGCCCTGTCATGTGATCGCTTGACCCTGTCGATTGATCACACTGCTATGAGCACATCGCTTGGCCGCGCTCTCACTCAATTCCGCCTTTCCTTCCTCAGCCTACGAAGCATTTTTTCTTTTGATCCACAGTCACTTATCTTTTCCCCACCTAACTGCCGGGGAGATAGTACGTAGTTGCAGGGCTTACAAAATATCACCAAAAAAAGTGTATAACCATTTAATCCATATCTATCCATTCACAAGTCACACAGAGGAAACTTCAAATTAATTATTACTCCGGTGACTACCTCGTTTTGCTATCAAACTGGCCAGGGACACACAGTATTGCATTTAACTGACTAAAAAAAAATCATCCGGGGTGTCCAACAAATTTACTCCAACCAAATATCTTTGATTACGGAAATGAAATGAAATGCGGTAGCCATCGGAGGCCTTCATTCCCATTCTCTTACTAGAAGTACCTCCATTCTAACGTAATTGGTTTAGTATCAAAAGCGTAAATAATATAAGATAGAATATAGAAATACGTTGAGATATTCAAGAGGAATCAGAGGAAAGCGGAGTGTGCTTCCGTATGGCGTTTACGCACTTCTATGCGTTTTTCCTCAATTAAGCTCACAGTTGCTCGAGATGATAGTTGATCTTGATTAATATTAAATTTGAAATTTATTCCCGAGAAAAGACTGTTATTTGAAGCCATCGATATGTAACCGAGGCCATGTAAGGATGGAAGAAATAGCGCTGCGTAACCAGAAAATGGCAACGATTGTAAAGTCATACCTTTTAAATTTGCCAATTATTCGACAAAAAAAGAATTGCAGCTATAGGAAATAAGAAAATGAACAAAATTACTTCTTAGATTCAAAGGGAGGATATTTTTTGAATGAAAAATAAAAAATAAAAATTTCGGCATAACTCAGATGCAATTCGATTCATTTATTCTCTTGATTCTCGTGATTTTATTATATTATTATCATTATTATTATTATTATTATTATTATTATTATTACTAGGCTGAGAAAAAAAATAGGAGCAGTGTATTCGAATTTAATGCTTACTATTTGCGTTTATTACTCATTTCATTTCACTTTCTTTTTCCAAGATCAAGCTTTATGAGAAAATAATATCACGTTTGACTGAAGATCATTAAAAAACAAAACGACAACAACAAACATAATGGGCGAATTGCGAATAATTGTGTTAAGGGTGGGAAATAAATCTATATTTTAGTTATAATCATTAAGAGAAGATTGTGTTTTGATAATGCACACATTTTAAGTAAACCTCGGTCCAACTTTGCTATGTTTTTATGAATTCGGCTAGAGAAACAGAATAACTGTTGTATCTTGTTTTATTTGTGTGTTACTCGAGCGGAATGAAAAATTGCCTTTCGTTCTTGTCAAATGAGAAATCACAGTCATCAAAAAGAAAAAATTCCTAAAGGCATCGACGTTAGCAATTCAAAATTTCATCTGCGGAAAAACAATTAATCAGTAGGTGAGCCAAAAAAAGCTCATGAAATTTGTTGAACGGCACTTAAACAAAAATATACACAGAATAACAGATTGTTCAAGATTTGAAAAACGTTGAATTGCAAGTAACCAAAATCGATCGATATATAAAATTGGTATCATTAAACCCATCGTTAGGGGCTGGCGGTGTTTTTTGTTTGAGAGAAACATGTTTTTCTTGACTTACCCTCCATTTGGACTTTCCGCTTGAGTCAGCTGATTTTCGGATGGTTGTATTAGTTGCTGCGATACACACTCTGCATCGTTCATCGATCCTCCCCAGATAGAGACGCAGGGAACTGAACTGAAAATGGCTCTGGGCAGAATGCTGTTATTTGAAGCCATCGATATGTAACTGAGGCCTTGTAAGGTTGAACCTTCCATGCCTGGGTGGTTGACAACCAACGAAGGAGGAAAATACTTTGAAGTCTTATTTGTCAAAATCAGTGGAGAATTGGCCGAGAACAGAGCCTACTTTCTGTGCGAAAAGATTGCAAGTTGCTCTAAGGGAATAACTGGACAGGGTCTGGCAAGAGGAGTGAAAATTTTGCACTCTGTTGAATATATTTCAGTGTGTCGGTAGACTTTGATCAGCTTCTGAGAGAATAAGCGAGTGATCTGATTGGTTACCTGCTAGAGAGGTACCGGCCGATTGGACATCCTGTATCGGAAGACGCCTTCTAGCAGCAAAGGGGATTTGCGTATATTTTGTTCCCTGCTACTGACAATTCTTGTAAATGTCGAGTCCCTAATTTATTCTACTCGGTACCTCAAGAGGCTAGCCTCAGAAATTGAAATGAACCATAGAGGAGGAGATTTCCATCTAATGGAATTTTCTTTTCTTGAATTTAACATAATTATCAGAGGTAAGCATAATATTTCAAGTTTCTAGTTCACCTTAAAAAAAAAAACAAAAACACAAAACACGACAAGTTTAGAAAAAAACAGCTCGCGTCGTTCGGTGTTTTTGATCTTTTAGTAACAAACATCCAAGGTCCTCGTTCTAGTTTGCCCACCCAGATGAACACTATCAGATAAGTAGAGCAAGCGAACAGTTATTCCATACTCTTTAAAGCGACTGAAGTAATTATAAAGTTGTTCACATAAGTGTTGTATCAAACCAAAAGGGAGAATGTCGGATCGAGGAGAATGTGATTTGAATATATCCCTGTAATTAAATATCCCATTCAAATGGTATTCAAAAAAAACCTCTTTGGAATAAATTTTCGGAGTCTTTTACGGGGTGTCCCAAAAGTTCGTTACTCTGCTTTATAAGTCTGTATTTCAGTACGATTGGACTTGGGAAGCAAATCATTGAAACAAAATTTGTCTTTCAATCTATATTCACCATTTTCTTACTTGTCCATTTTTTGACTCGAATATTCGATTTACGTACTTCCTTGCCAAGGGTGCGCGTGCGCGAGTATATTTTCTAGCAACACCTTTTTTTGTAGTTTACAGCCCAAATTGCTCGAACTCCTTCCTTGTTTTTTTGTGAATATCACGAAAGATGAATCCCCTTAACGCAAAAACGTTCAGCTATTTTAGGGGATGAGCATGTATATTTTGATTTACTGGCTTATCTGTCGTAGAAACTGCTAAAAAACTGGAAAAATAAGAATGTTGGGTGGTAAAATGATCATGGAGGAATGAAGGTTTTGAAGGCAAGAAATGAAGGGGAAGACCAAAACTCCTGAATAAAGCAGCTAAATAGTTCTAAGAAGGCTAGATACCAAAAAAGGAGACTCGACGAGAAAGCTCTCACATAGTAAGCAAGCCAAGTCCAGAAAGGGTCACGAAAAGCTGTTTAAAATGTTTAAAATTAAAGGCCCCTGACATGGCAAAAAAACACCTCTGCTTAGTCTGCAAAGTAACGCCCAGCTCGTCTCAAGTTGTAGAGAACTACAAAACCTTGAAGGAGGCCGGGATGACTATCTTTTTTGGATGAATGCGCAATATATATTTTTTCCAGCTGCCTAAACTAAACAAATTTTGTTTGGGGGTTGAACTGGCTCTTGTGATAAAAAAGCTCAATCCCTCAGCCATCAAGCGCACTTAGGTCAAACGTAATCCAACAATTCTCTTTTACTCTAGTTGGGGCGGATCGCTTATGACCTCACTAAAAACACACTGAATCTATTTTTTTTAAAACTTTTATTGTGTAACTTTTATTGTGTAAGTAACAGTAGCGACGTGAGCATTGTTTCCGGTCTTTTCATAAGCCTACTGTTTGCTGGTTTCAGCTTTAGTAGAAGCTAAAAAACATGTAAATGGAAAATGTAAACTTGTATAGACAGTTCTTTCTTTAACCAACGGCGAACTGGCAGCAGCAGTTCGCAGTAACCGAGGAACTCTATCCCCGTAACGCTACATAAACCCGTTGTTAAAAGACTACTGGATTGATAGAATTACGAAAAGACCACTTTACATTCTTGCTTTTAAATAACTTAGAATAGCCCAATTAAATTAAATTTATGTGGCCTTGCTCAAACTCCCAAATAACAGGCTACAATGAATTGATTAAGTTCAAAATTGTTCGGAAAAGGGCCATGAATAAGAAACGAATTTTCTTACTAAACTTACGTCAAAGACCCACAGCGCTAAAATTTGTTTTAAAAACTAGAAAATTGTAAGTTTAACCAAAAAACGGTTTCTTAAAAACTTCTCTTATTTAAAAGTATCCCTTGAAAATTGATTTTAAACGGTAATAAGATGTGACACAACTCACAAAGCAGAAATTTAGAGAAATCTAAACTGTCGATAATTCAATTGTATGTCACAGGCAAATTTCACCTTCGAACTTCTCACTACACGTATACTAAAATTAACATCGAAATACTCAAGTGGATCAATTTATGTTTCTGGGAAACTGCCCACCTACCCCTCCCCTTAGCCATCATTTTGCCCTAAGTGAGAAGTAAGTGTTAATGTTAGCTTAGGGGAGGGGTAGGTGGGTAGTTTCCCAGAAACCTAAATTGCTCCGCTCAAGTTAGAGCAAAGACAAATTGATCAAACGGAGGGGCTTTCCACACTTGATGCCCGGGAACCAGTACCTCGGTACCGGCACAAAATCCATGGTGTTGTGTTCACACTTTGAGTACCTGATAATCCGGCATAGGCAACTGTGTACATAGCTACTTCATTTCGCCCTGTTGGACGCCATTTTGAGACATGAGCATAGTAGCGAGAACAAAGCTGTAGACTGCCCCAGAACTAACAAAGACGGTCTGCACACAAGGACCTGAATTCAATGTAGCTTGGTTACTTGAAAAAAGAGTGTGTTCACATTAGTGCCTAGCAAGAACCGTACTCGGGCACCGTGCCCGGGGATCAAGTGTGAACGCTGCCTAAGCCGATAACTGCGATGACTGTCTAAGGGCCTGTTTACACAGGGGTGGGGGACCCCAGGTAGGTGAGGTAACCCGCTTGGGGGGACCCGCCTGTCCATATAATATCTCACTTTAATTTGATCACGTTTACGTCATAGGTGGGGTGCGTGACCCGCCGCATGTTACCTCACCTATCTGGGTTCCCCCAACTCCATACAAACAAGCCTTTACAGAAGGTCATCCCACACTGATACTCTTTGAAAAGAAAAATGTCTACACAAATGACGAGGGACGAATTTAGCTGGAAATTTAACGAAAAAGTTCTAAAATAAAACACTAGCGTGGTTTGGAGGCTTTGGACAAGACAATTATGTTGTTTTACTACCCGACGCTCAGTCTCTTGAACTTCTCTCTGAAGCTTCGTCGCTTCTTCACCTTGTTACCAGACTTCCTACGCATAACACCAACCGGTTCGCGTACCAGTCGAACGTTAGCATCCAGGTCATCTTGAGAGTCATCAAGAATGAACTGAATGTCTTGTGGCTCGAAGTGTCGTTTCTCTGCTTGGACAAACGTCACCACTTCCTCTGTGACTTCCGGTTCCGGGGCAGACTCGTTAACCGAAACGACTTTCGTGGTGATAAATACCTGTATTGAAAAAAAGAGCCAAATTCGAGCAATACAACAAAAACAATTCAGCCCAACTAGAATCAAGATTGTAATAAGTCCGATTTTGAAGCATGAATAGACTTTTTGCAGTGAACAGGCAAGAGCACAACACTGTACATCAACAGGAAGTGCAGGAGGGCCAATTCGCACTTCCATCATATAAAAAGTACAAAAAATGTGAGTTGTGAATAGTCAATAGCATTCACTACCCATGCACAGTGCTAACCTGCTACTGCAAATACCTCACCCCTCACTCACTATCTAGAGAGACTTGCCCTCAAACTCTATCTTCTCCCCCCACAACATTTTTTCAATTGTTTATCCCTGATATTCTGTAAGAGTTAATAATGTCATCGTCACTATTATTATTATTACTATTATTATTATTATTATTATTATTATTATTATTACTATTATTATTATTATTATTATTATTATTATTATTATTATTATGATTACTATTATCATTATTATTATTGTCATTATCATTACCATTAATTATCATTATCATTATCACTATTATTATGAATTTGCCATTCTAGTGCACAATTACCTCCTCATCTTTGTCTTCATTTTCTGGCTTCATGTCCTTAATCAGCACAGGCTCTGAGTTGTCCAATTCTCGCTCCATCTTGTATTCAGTGGCTTTGACTGGCGCATTGAGCCACTTGAGTCGACTCCTAGCAACAAGGAAAAAGAAGAATTAAATTTAATCAAACTGTTTATTCATAAGTATTGAACAAGACGTTGCTCTAAGTTTCCCCATGCCTCTGCTTCAAAGCTAAGTACAAAGCCATTGATATCAAAATTATTTTTTTTATTTTCAGGCAAATAAACCTTGTTTGCACAAGGAGGCTGTGTACAAGGTTGGGCACTTTTTAACCTTTCCTTGTGGGTGGGGTGGGTGCTTATTCAAGGTGGAAGCTAATTCGAGGTTCGGCACTTAATCGAATGGATACGGTAACTTGTATTTGGTAAACTGCTAAGTACACGAAAAAAGTTAGCAGTCAACATGTCCCGTTTACATGTATAATGGCTACTCGCACAAAAAGGCACAAAACTAGGGAAACAATCTCTAAAAGATGGAAGATGGCTCGTAGTTGGCATTAGAACGGCAAACGTGAGTTTGTACCACGAGACCGACTTCTCCCTGTACTTTCAGCTTACTGTTCACTATAACTACAGGTAAATCAGCAGATTCCCGTCTGTTTTATCCATAAGAATTGTTTTCAGCTGTTTCTATCTGCTCATTTCCTATTTTGAGAATTTCTCGACTTGAATCTGACGTTTGCCGTGAACGTGACTTTAAATCTCTCTATCAACATAGCATTTTGATTATTCAGATATGGGGTAAATGAACGTCTTTTAGGGCCAAAAATAGAGGACATAAAAGAAGGGGCCACAGAACGTATCCCTTTACCTGTAAGTGTTCCCACGTCCCAGAGATTGAGTACGCCGCACAGGATGCCCATCTGTCTTCCGGTAGAATGCAAAGTCTGTGCGCGCGTTATAGGCCTTGGGTGGGGCTGTCTCGCGTGCCTTAGACTCCTTCTCTTCTGGTTTCTTGAAGATGTCAGCGTTTCTGTAGTTGTAACCAGTCTTGCAACCCTAAGAGTACGAACTTGAGATGAGTACGAACGGGAATGCTAGAGACACAGCAATATACATGTAAGACTTCGAGAAATTCCTCATTCTTCCTGAGCAAGCGAAACAGGTGAGCCTGTGCTAAAATCACCCCATGCGAGAAAGGAGTCTCAAGTCTACAGTAATATTGTATGTCTGCTGAAAGTCTAGAGTGGACACCTGTGCAATCATTGGCAAACAAGTGACGTCTTGAGATTCAAATCCAGTAAACAGTACTTCTTCGAATAAGCACAGATTTGAAATGCTCGATACAAGTCAAAAGCTTGGGAATAGTTCGGCTTCAAAGTTTCGTAGGCGAATAAAGGAGAGGTTACAGTGACGTATCGTATCGTGGGAAAATGTATCATACAGGGTTCGTACAGATTTTTTCCAGACCTTTTTCCAAAACAATAATTTTTTTTCCAGACACAAGGTTATCGAATAGGTGATCAATATAACCCTTAAAAAAAGCAGGAAGAAAGCTTTTTTCATGATGCACTGAAACGTACAAGGCCAAGATTGAATAAGACTTGACAAAAACAATAAACGAATTCACTTAAAAAGCAATTGTTGTTTTGAAATACTTAAGACTTTTTACCATGTTCCAGACTTTATCTCTATTTTCAAGACTTTTTCCAGGTCTGGAAAATTGCTGGGCAAATTTCAAGACTTTTTCAAGAATTCAAGACTCTATACGAACCCTGAACAGAGCAGCCCTATCAATATCGTTACGGCTTTAATAATGAAAATTACGTAGGAACCGGGAAGCCTCTATAACCCCTTGCCTATTCCCTAAGCTTCATTATTCCGGGTGGCCTTGCGTTTCCGGTCACATGGTCCGACCGAGTTTGTGACGTTCGTCTTAGCCTGCAAAGCAGGCGGGATTAGCGGACGAATGCTGATTGGACAATCCACCAGTACGTAGGCTACGTTCTTCTCGGCTACGTCACCAAACTGGATTGCCCGAGAAGGCCTGGGAAGACGCCTTCTCGGGGTTTTTGCCTCGAGAATAGTCCAAGTGAAGACGCATTTTTTACAGCCTTAGCCTCAATCTGAAGTAATATATTCACAAATTCCAACGAGAAAAAGACCTGTTTATTACTCTGTGTATTGTGTATATTCAAATTTCAAACACTTACTTGCCAGAATTTCTGAATATTTTACTTTACGTCGAGGCTAACCCTGTATGAATGTGTCGCTAATGTTTACATTCAGCGGTAATTTTTAATTCGAAACTGGACTATTGGGGAGGTATCCGGGGGAGGTATGGGGAAAGAAATGTGAAGTATGGAAATGTGTTTTTATTTTTAGTAAATCTGAAACAGTGGTTGTATAAGAAAACGTACTTAAAAGTTTTTAACTTGATGAAAAAGTCTTATGCGGTATGTACAACACTACTAACACTACGTGTGTAAAGTTGCATAGTGTTCAATGATTTTACCTTAGCATCTAACTGACGCATCCAGGCTTCAAAGTTTAATTCGGCTAGCTTGTGTTGGTTCTCATTAGCATCCAGGCCCCCATTAAAGGCACTCATCATTTGCTCTTTAACATCATCATCGATAATGCGCAACTCGTCCATCCCAGCTTTCATTGCAATTACCTATAGAAAACACCAGTTACTACGTCAATAAAATATACCTACAGGCAAAGAGAAAAAAATTACCTAGTTATATTACATTGATAGAGAAAGTTGCAAGGATAAAGAAAAAAGACTTTGCATAAGGGCTAATGTTCCTCCTGGCATAAACAGTCCTTTCATTTCTAGGTGTTGTATCTTATAGCTAACTGTAACACATTTGGTGGAAAGAAACTGTCCTTAAGGCATTAAGTGGGGAGGGGGTGGGGGGATCCAAACCTCCCACCTCCCACACTTTGTACCCCCTGCTCAGGACCCTTCTTTTCTTGGCTTCTTCCCTTTAGGCCTTTTTCGATTGGGAAAAACAAAACAAAAACAAAAACAAACAAAAAAAAATAAAATGAAGCTTTGTGGGGTGTGTACTTTTTGAGAATATGTAAAAAAAAAGAAAAAAAACCCTCAGTCAACTCGTCTTTTCCTTGACTCTAAAGGTCTCTATTAAGGACAATCTAACGGGAGTTGACAGTAGCAATGTACTATAATGACATTCAAATAACCACCATGAAGATTTTTCTACACCACAATTATTAGCCAGAGAGTATAGTACCTGTTGATTACAAGCAGTTACAAGTAGATGAGCTAGGTAGGTTGTCTCTTCTATTGTCTCCCCAACACAAATGGCACCATAGTTTCTGACTACCAAAACCTGAAGGAAAGAAAAACAAATTATAAAATAGTATTTGTATAGGTAATAGCATGATTAGTAGTGATTCTTGGCTTAAATAATACCACGAGTGATATTTCAAAATTGTTATACGTAATTTCACAAGACGTTAGGCAAGTGAAATTTGAGATAATTTTGAAATAACACGAGTGGTATTTATGCCAAATATCACGTACAAATCATGCTATTATTTGTTTATACTACTACCAGCAAAAGGTTTGTAATTTTCACATGTAGGTATTTCAAATTAAGCTGAAATATCACTGCTCTAAGCCAATCAAATTGCAGAAATTTCTCATGTAGTAGTATAATAAAAAGATAACAACCCCTGCTTACAGACAACATGCTTTATAACACTTACATTTTTTTATTTTACCCTGTTGTTGCATGTAGCAATTGCAAAAATTGAATATTCATGAAATGGAAGTATGTGAGCTTCACATTCTCAAACTTGCGCATTCAACTTTTGTTGTAAAAGTTTTTTGTTTTGTATTCTCCCTGCATCCTGTGGGGGTAGAAATTTGCATGACTTGAAATCTAGCCATACCCTGCTTGAAGAGCCAAAGCTGTTGATTAACGATTCTTTGGCATCTTCATCGAGGCTGATCCCAGGATAATCATGATAGGAAACTTCACCAACCTACAAGAAGCAGAAAACAGTAAGCTGTAAAATCTTTTAGCATAATGTCCTTTGATTAAACCGAACTGGATGTACCTAGTGTATTCAGATTCTTTGGGTGAAAATTTACATTTTGTTTTCCAAAGCATGCAAAGAAACCAGACTTATTTTTCAGGGTGCAAAGAAACTCAGCATTAACCAGCCCAAGAATTATTTTAACTAGGCCAAAAACACAATTTTGATAAGCAGGATTAATAATTTACTAAACTATTATTATTTATTTATTAAATACATAATTAATTTATTTATTACTTGGGCATAATTTGTAAAAATAATAATTGTAATGATTATTCACTTTCTCAGCTCAGCTCGAAAACCCATTTTCAATTCCAACACATGAATTTATTAGGATTAACATTGGTACAGCACTTTTGTATCATTTTAAATTCCCCCCAAATCTGCTAGCCCTAGGCTATCAGATACAACTTTCTTAAGGCTGATCTTATAATGATAGACAGATCAAGAGAAACAAGCCAAATCTGAGCTTATCTAGATGCTTTGTGTAGAGAAGATGTGAAGAGAGATTTGTACAGCTTTTCACAGGAGGACAAATGACAGCGAGTTTGCAGTACTTACAGCCACTCCTTCTTGAGAGATGGGCACAAGTCCTTGTTTTATTGCAGACACCTTACAGAAAAAAGAAATGACAATCACACACAAATTCAAAGCTAGTGAAATATTGGGTGCCCTATACTTAAATTTTCAATATCCTTACTGAGTTTTTCAGTTATAAATTATGCTGTTTGTGAAATAAAAATAAAATGAATATTTAAATTATTAAAATGACCCCTCTCCAAAATGCCTGTAAAGTGGCCTGCACCACAGACCTAACCTCTGGTTCAGTCCATTTGTGAGCCAGCCCCGAAATCCCTGTTCTGGTTCCCCACATATGCCTAGAGTCGTCTGTTAAAAATACCATTGTCGATTTGCCATTTTATTGGGTTATAGGAATTTTTTAATGTACTTCCGGTAAACGCACTTCCGTTGAGTCCATTGGGGGCCCAGAACAAGGGTCTCAGCACTGTTTCACAGAAGTTACTAGCCAGGGTTATAAGGTATCCCTCAAATTAACCTTTTAAGTCCCAAGATCCCATACAAATTCTCACGACTGATCTCCACACATTTCTTTTAAGAACAGCTGAGAGAATTTTGGCTTAAGATCACAGTGTTCTCCCTTTGGTAATTAATTTAGTAATTCTCATAACCTTTACTCTTGAGGATCTGCTGTTGTTGTTACGAGAAAATCAATATTGGTCAATCTTGGTACCTAAAGGGTTAAGCTGCTGGGCACACCGGTTTTTCTGTAAACTTTGCAATTCAGCAGTTATCGACTTTGTTTATACACTGTATGTTATTCATCCCAGTTAGCTGTCCCTTGGTTTCCAAGGATAAGTTTACATTCTAAGAATCAGAAGAAGCTACTTTTATATCAAATCTCTGGCAGTTTTGTTATCGGTCCCCCATGATAGTTTTGTTGTTGTTGTCATTGTTGTTGAAAACATTTTCACTTATCTATCATTTATCATTGTATATTGTACTATTTTTATCTCCTAGTTTTTTATATTGATTTTTGTAAGGTGCCATTGGACTTGGACTTATAGTTTTTGGAGCTATACAAATCATTAGATATTATTATCATCAGCATTATTGTTATTGTTAATATAATTATTATTATTATTATTATGGTACAATACTTACCACATTCACAGAATCAGCAGTTAAAAATAGAACACACTTAGCATCTTTCCTTGCTGAGTGAATGGTCACATGAAGATCAAACACTGTCTTGGACACACCCAAATTGGTATTTCCCTGTTCAACAATGTTCCCTTTGTGGTCAACTTTCAAAATCGACGAGGCCGTCACTTCACCAAAAAGAAGACCAGTTGGAGCAATAAAATATCGCTTTTCTTCATTGTCATCACCAGTTGCACAAACCTGCAAGGAAATTAAGAATTAGGAAAACTTTCAACTAATTTCTTAAGCTTCCTAATTTACAATAACAATACACCTTATTCACGATACCTGCCATCTTTGCACGGGCTTTAGGACTGATGGGATAAAAGCAATGTCACATGGTTTCTCAGGGGGGCAAACGAGTGATAAAACCAGTCTATATAAGAAATCGTGCTCGAGTTTGTTTATTCTTGACAACAGAAAAAAGCAAACTTTTTATCTCAGAGACGATATTCATAATGGCAAGTTATGGGTGGAAGTGATCATAATTGTTACTTTTTTGGGCACAGTACATGTAGCAACTGTAGATGTCCTCACAGCAAACAATAATGACGTAAAACTCGGTGAAACTCAAACTGTACATCTTGCCTGTTTATTAAATCCTCATCACATTTTGAGAGAATAAACAAACATGACCAGGATTTGGCAAATTTTAGCACTAATTTGCCCTCTGAAATACCACATAACATTGAATTTTTCCAATCAATCCTATAGCGCATGCAAAGATGGAGAGTGTAATGAATAAGGTCTGTTGTAGGAGTGATAAATTATTAATAATTATTGTCAAACTGACAATCCAATTATCAATTTTACAAATCAACCCGACATAGAACCTGATCTTGGAGGAAAAAAATAAAAAAGCCGAAAACCAGCTAAACAAGACTTCAAAATCATGACCTTCACTGATAACTGACAGGTTTGGTAGACACAGAATAATAAACAAGCAGTAAAATGACATAACAATAGCTATCAAAAAATGCTTTTCACACCACATTTTAATAATAATTCCATACTACTAATAATTATCCAAAAAATATTATCATAGAAATCATTTATTTGTGGTGACATCCAAGGTAATTTATTTGCTAATAAAGCTTATAGCAGCCCTGCACAGGTACATTGTACTTTGTTACTGGAACTCTCAGAGCCGTGAAAACTAATCTCTACTACGGAGGTTCTGACATGCTTGAAAAATTTTGTCCCGCCTTTTTTCCCAACCCATCCAGCTGAATGACCATTGGTCTCTGAGGATGGTTCTGACAGGATTATATACAGTCCTAGGCTTGAGCTTAGAAAGAAAACCTGTGGCATGCAGTTATTCTATGGTCATGGAGCATTTCCTTCAGTAAAAACTGTTACAGACATCTTTGAAGAATGCCTGGAAGTCTTTGTGCGATAATTAGAGATTGTAAACTTGTTTAGATCGATAATTTGTTATTTGTCATTTTTTGTTACTACAAAATCAGAAAAAAATTACTGAAAAGAACAAAATGTTTTGAGCTGTCAGCCGGTTCTTAACTAAATTCAACATAAATTAAATAAAATCAAAAAATATTTTTGAAATGGTAGAATCCAGATTAAGAATAAAAGGAATCTTGGACAATTCTCTTCTTTCTCTTTCCAGCATCAAATTAAAAGGAGCAACATATACTATTACATTGTAATTTTTTTTGGCATCACTTATGTGTGCTGTAGTTATTTTAGTAACAAACAACATTTTAAAGGATAATACCTTCATTAGTCACAGGAAGTCCTGCTTTCATTGATAGCCCTTCACTCAAGACATTCACATGCTTGCATGAAAACATTAATGTCATATAAAACCAACTAAACAATTTTATTTAATATCTAGATCTTATATCTTCTATATTTATCCTTTGAATACATGTGTATTAAAGTACAAATACATGCAAAACTACAAAATTGATATTAGATTTATCCACAGTGGTGTTGACACATTCCCTTATAAAATATTTCAAATTGCAAATTACATTACAATATAAAAAGCCCTAAAATCTTCCTTTCTCCCTCCCCCCCAAAAAAAATAAGAAGGAAAAAGCTACATTACATTCTCAATCCCTCAGAATACTGTCCATTTTGTGATGTTTTGATGTTGTATTAATTTAATTATTTTCAAGTCTTTGGTTATATATTTTGACAAAACCATACTCTTTATCAAATATTCAGCCTATCAGGATTTAGCACTCATTGGGAAATGTTTCAATATAATAATATCATGAAAGATGCGATTATCATCATGTCACGACAGGCGAACAAAAAAAGAAAAGAAGTCCCTGAAAGGATTGGAGCCTATGACCTCTTGAACTCCAGACAGGTGATCTGTCTACTGAAGTACACGTACAGGTATCAACACACTGGGTAGAGTAACTCTACACAACTACATTGTAGGATCACAATTTTGACATGTGTGACAACTGATATAAACTGCTAGGATTATCAATGCCAGGAGCGCACTGCACGAAAAAAGAAAAATCAACCCCTCACTGAATGACGATATTTATATAGACATGGGTTACAGGGGTTGAACCAATCAAGGTTTTGTTGACGAAGTATATTACAAAGACATGACAATAATCATATTCACTGAATGTGCGAAGAATTTCCGTATGTAGGATAAAAAAAATATGTTTGAATTATATATATCTCACTCTATTTACAGTCTACAGTACAGTTTAATTAACATAAACTTTGACATCTTTGTCTTAGTCGTACCTTTTGGAAACATCAAAAGGTATTTTTAATATTGTCTTTAAGTAAAAATGTACATGCCAAAAGCTAGAGCTTTTAAAAAATTGATGATACTCATATAAATCTAAAAGGATTGCCATTGTGCATTTGGTGGCAAATGACACTCAATAAAATTTCATTTGTATGCGTGAGTATGGAAATATATCCTTAACATGATTAAATTTACCAAGATCCAGGCATAAGACCTACAAGGGAAGAGTTTTATACTCTCAACCCCTTTAAGAAATTTTATTATCAATAGACAACAAAACTTGCCTACTTGGTTATCCAAATGTTTGAGAAGAGGTTAAGAACACGTCAAATTTCTTTTGAAAACACAAAAATTCCTGGAGTAAAAGCAATAGAAAGTTTTCTTGAAACTGGGTACAGGAAAATATTGTAACTTGACGAGAAATTACAAGAAGCGGAATGCAAAGTATTGGTGCCGTGTGATGTACGTATGTTCCTAGCAGTAAGATGTTATAGAACTCGACATGAGGCACACTTTGTCTACCATCAATAAATTACTTGTCCATTCACGAAAAGTGCTTTTTAATTGAAAGTATACTCACACTGTAGGAGGCGCGATCGTAGATCCCGTTTGCCCATCCAAACATCTGCATTAAGCGATAAACAGAAGCAAGCTTGCATCTCAGTTGCCTGTCTTTCTTAGTGTAGTGCAACGTATCAGCGCCTCTGATATCTGATATAACCGAAGAGGACAAGCCTGGGATGCTACCGGCATCGTTTAAAGAGCCCGAAGGAATCAAGAAGTCTTGGTAAGTGCGGAAAGCACTTGGAGTCGTCGCGTACTCGCCATGTGCGGAAATCATGTCTTCCAGCTCTCCGCGTAAAATGTCATCTCCCAGGGCCAAAGAAACTCTTCGTCGCATCTTGAGGCCTCGAACGTCGCGGAGAACTTGTTCTGGAGCACGAGCAGCTCGCCCCATCGTCTTGTTTGAGCGAGGTGGAGCGCTCCATCGCTTGGAAGAGTCATCAGGTGTTCGCGTGGTTCTTGGCGTTACAGTGGACATGCTACGATTAAAGTAACAGTGAGGCGTTTAGACAGCGAATGAACAAGTAACCAAAGCTGAAAATCTTTGACCTCTGTTTTGAAAGTGTGCGGTTTTAAGAGGGGGTTTAATCTTCCGGAGTTCTACCGCATAAGTGTTTGTTCCTTTTTTCCTTGGAGTGTTATAATGCAGCAATAAAATACACGCAATTTGTTAATTGTTTAAATAACCAGTCTACAGCGATAAAGACCCTCTTGAATTTAAATATGACTAGCTTATGATCTTAACTAAAAATAACAGAGTAGAAATACCTTTCAGCTAAGTTCTAGACTAAATTATCAGTAAAAAAAAAAGTCCCAACCTGTACTTGGCTTCGATTCAACGCGACTACAATGACTTCTTCACGCCTGTTCTGTGACTTGGTAAACACCCCAGCGAGCCTAGGATGCGAATGGCTCTTGTTTATATTCATTGAACCTTGCAATATTACAATCAGACTCATTTATATTCCGCCACGCACTCGCGTCTTGAATAAATATTAGCCATCTTGATTTTGCATGCATTGATCTAGATTGATCTGAACTGAAGTACTTCAGGTGACCTTATCATTCCGGTCGAGTTTCATTAGCTCTGAACTTACTGATCCTGTAATTTTCTTAAAAACGTGTTCATAGAAAGAAGGCTTTTTAAAAACACGATTATTCATTTTTTTTTCCTGTTTGGTGCTTTTCGATCTCACAGCTGGACCAGCAAGCATTTTTTTTATTGCCCCAGAGGCAAGTGATGCGCGCGCAAGCTTAAAATGACCAAAAGGATCGCGGCCAGTTTAGACATTTCGGAGAGTTTAATACTCAAAGAAAAAAATAAATAAATAAATATCAAATACAACGTCCTATTCTTACTCTTTTTTCGCTCTTTCCTGAATGATTTTGAAACTTTTTTCTTTTCTGACACATCAGATGTCCAACGCAAAAACATTGTTGGCAATTACATGACAAGATTACCGTTTATCATCGTTTAACATCTGCTGACTAATAGTATAACGGGCTCATAACAAGAAAGGCATCAAATTCTCGAAGGCAAAAGGAGGTTATTTGGTCCTGGAAAACTGAAATAATTTATTGGTGTACAGATTTAGTCTTTTTTCGGAACTTCTTCCTGTTGATAAATTGTCTTCGTTATCATTTTTAAAGATCGAAAATGGTTCTAAAAGACCTTTTTTGTCAGAGCAGGTAAGGTTTACATATATATATACTGATTACTATACAAAGTTAAGTCATCTTACCTTAGCTCTTAGCAGCTTTAAAGCATACCAATTTCCTTGATGGTAGCATTATTGTTTTTTTTGGGAGTCGACTTTTAGACATTGCACTACGAATTTGCTGAAAGATTCGCAGCAAAAGCCGGACATCCCGCCTAATCACTCGATTATATCGATTTAAAAGCAAACGTTTGATGTGTCATGAATGTCTAGGGAGCCATTAATAATTAATCTGGGGTCTGACTAAACCATCAAGGGAACCACTTGAGTTAATTAGCACTAATATGTGTTTCTGCTATTATACTGAACATGAAAAATTACTTAAAATTAAAGAAGAGATTTTTGATTTTTGATAGCATTTGACTCCAGTATTGTTAAACAGCATATTGTAACAAAAATGAGAGAGCCATTAATTTAGGGTCTGACTTATCCTGGAGACCCAGGGGCAGTCAGTCTGGTCGGGAGAAAAGGCGCAACGAAAGTTTTCAAACATGAGTGGAAAAGCCCCTGGGTACCAACTCTCACCGGACAATTTCCAAATGGTCAAGCAAATGCTGGCTTCTGATTGGGCACAAAAAAATGCTTTGTATTATTGTGCCCAATTGGCAAACAGCATTACCTGAGTTCTTTTCGTGAGTTTGTGTAAGACAGTTATTGTCTTGCCATACTATATTGCACTAATGTCCGGTTTGTTCACCAACATTGTGCATGCATGGGAAACTTTCATTTTCTACTTTACTAACCAGAAACGAAAGAACTACCAATGACTTGGGAAAACGTTTGGATGCTATCAATAATACAAGACATTTTTTGTACCCAATCAGGAACCAGCATTCTCTTAACTGTTTGGAAATGGTCCAGTGAGAGTCGGTACCCAGGGGCTTTTCTGCCCATGCTTGAAAACTTTCATCGCGCCTTTTCTCCCAACTCAACTGACTGCCCCTGGATCCCTGAGGATGGGTCTGTCTAAACCACTAATATGTATTTTTGCTATTTTTTCAATGGAGTGAAGCTGTGCCGCGCCGATCTCTAAAGTGGAGAGTCACGCATCGGATAGGTGTTCATACGATACCGGATAGATTTTTGTTTTGGCACGCTAATCTATCTGGTATAGTGTGAATATAGCCTGTCATGATGATGTCTGATGCAAATTGACACATTGTTTCAATTCCTGATTACAAGGCAATGTTACATTACTAATGAGTGCAAGACATCAAATTTTCCATATGCAAAGAAAATCGTTTAACAAAACTAAACAACCCATAAAATGTTAAAAACTCTTCATGCTTTATGAACCCAGGTTCAATTCCCAGCAAAGTGCTGTGTTTTTTTGTCTATTTTCTCCCTTTCTTTTCTTTGTCTTTTTGTCTTTTTACAGTTGAACCTCCATTAAGCGGCCGCCCTCTGGGTACCGGCCACCCTCTGGGTACCGGCCACCCTCTGGGTACCGGTCACCCTCTGGGTACCGGCCGCCCTCTGGGTACCGGCCGTCCTCTGGGTACCGGCCGCCCTCTGGGTACCGGGCCAGTTGCCGCTAAATGGAGGTTGGTAGCCTGCGTAGCTGGCGGTATTGTGTACTAGGCGAGGGAAATTTGGCGGCGGAGCCGCTGTACCAGTCGACGTCCCCACTCCTTTTTTTTAGATCGCGGCTCTGCCGCCTGAACTTTAATCACACAATACCGCCAGCTATGCAGGCTAGGAGGTTGGCTGCACAATAGGGGTTAATTGTTATAATTAGCTTAAACTTTATCAGAAACATCACTTTATTTTAAAAACAAATGCGTGATGGGAGAAGAATTACTGGTCCACAATAGGTCATCAACTTCTACATTTGTATATATCTTGGACTGTACATGTATTTTCCTTTATCATATTATTCTTGAAAATGAAGCCAAACTAAGTGTATTAAACGCTTGATGGCTGCTTATAGAGGTGACAACAAGTTATGGGAGAACTCATTTGGATAGACTTTCATAACTGGCTGCTTAATAGAAGGTGACTGCTTAATGGCGGTTTAGTTTAAGGCTGATTTAGCAACAGAACAGGAATGTTAGTTGACCATGGCGCACTCAAATTAAAAAGCTGGCCTGACCAATGGCAGAGTGACAAATTGGGCACCAAGAGTCATGTTTCTAAAGTTCTTTCCACATGCTTCCCCATTGTCAACTGACATTCCCATCCTGTTGCTAAATCAGCCTAGTATTGTAATGGTGGGGATTAGAGGACAACAAGGTGTGCCTTCTCAACTGTATATGCCACTGTTGGCCTTTTCCCCTAAGCTTGGTTAGGAATCTGCAAGACGAATACTAATATTAATATTTTTTGTTGTATGAGGTGCTCAAGATAATTTTGTCTGTGTGCGTGTATGGAAGTTAATTCTGTGGGTTTTCTGTCATTTTTTTCAGATTTCCAGATGGTGGAGCATTGCTCATGCTTCTGTTTTATATTCCATGTGGTCTGTTGCTTGTAGTATTTAGATTCTTCTTCGCGCTTCAACTTCTTCTTATAATGTCAATTCTACCAAAAGAATCGCTTGTAAAAAGGTAAAGACCAAAGCATAACAACCCTTTCTCCCCTAATGACGGGCAATTAAAGAAAAACCTTGAAGAAATAAGTAGTACCAGGCAAAATTTGTACCAAAGAGGTTCCATTTGAATGGTATTCTTATATCTTTCCATTTAATAATTGTGGTGCAGTGGAACCTCGATAATATAATGAACCTCCATAAGACAAAGTCCTCTGTATAATGGACAATTTTCTTTGCCCCAGTAATAGTAAAATATATGAAAAAGAACCTTGTTATAAGAAAACCTTGTTATAGCGAACAAATTTTTGTCAGTCCCAGCCCTTGGCCCTTCATTATACATGTATAATTATTGAGGTTCCACTGTATACTGGGATAAAAGTGTTAAGATATTGACGATTAGCATGTTATTTTTAACATGATTTACAAGAAAAACGTTTTTTCGTAGGCTTCTATTCAGGGTTTCCTCTGCCATACTCGGAGTTGCTGTTACTCAAGAAGGATATGAAAATTACATTAAAGGCCAACATAAGGTATCAATGTTGATGTACGGTGTGTCATTGTTATTATCATAATGAAGCTCAGCAATTTTGGGCACTTTTTTGCAGTAATCTTAAACATTTTAGACTGGTAACATTAGCCTAGCGCAAATCCTGACTCGTCCCCAGTCGTCTCTAAGTTGTCTCTTCTCATTAAATATTTACTAGGGAAGCGCTTGGGTTATGTGCGCGGGGAAGATGGGAAGGCGAGAGGAGGGGAGGAGGGAGTCTCTCCCTTCTCCCTTCTTCCTTCCCGTCATTCCCTTTGTTAAAGAGCCCATTCTAGTCTTCCACGCTGAATACTAATTATGAGAGACGACTGGGGATGAGTCAGGGGCAGATCTAGAAGATTCAAAATGAGGCAGTCATAATCCCAACTGGGGAGGCAGGGAACCTTTGTTTGGGACCTACCTGTGTTGAAAAGTTTAGATGGTTTTCCGGTGATGGAATTTGCCCATAAAAATTTGCAAATTTCGGGGAGCGTTTGCATCCAGAATTGTAAGCTCTACATTATTAATATAGACAGATATAATTATATTGGTCTTCATTGGGTCACTACTTTTTATGGTTGCTACTGATAGTCAGTAGTAAATGATAGGACAAACCACAACTTCACTTGAACTGTAGCATATAAAGAGTGGGCGTGGGGGAGAGAGGTTCTTTCTCTCTCTTCCCCATTCCCCCCATGGATGGTTAGGGGTGGAGAGGGCTGACAGTTCAGACCAGTAATCAATCACAATGTACACTTGTAAATGAGACATTTGGGTGAGCACATACTGCTGGTTGAAAATGAAATAAAGGTATTTTTTGGATCTTTTGGATATTAATGGTGGTTATTTTCAGGTTGTTATCAGCAATCATGTTACAGCCTTGGATAACGTTGCTATAGAAACTATTCTTCCAAGTATCATGGTTAGCATTAATTTTTTGTTTTGGCTCATAAACTGGCCAAGTCCACTTAAATAATTTTAGTTTGCACATTTTAATCATATTTTTAATATAGTTTACATCATTCTGTTCAGTTCGTTCATTTGTTTTTATTTTATTTTATTTTTCTTGCTTTCCTCTCACATAAGTGGCAATTATTTGATATAGCTTGTATCTTTATTTTAATATTGAAAATAAATTTCGAGGGCTCAAAAGTAAGCACCATCCTGTTGTTTGAAACAAGTAACTTTTCTTGCTGGGCAAGTAACCTTTTAACTCACTTGTCCCATGGGCAAGGGTCCAGGCAAATCGAACATCCTGTAACTAAAGCATTAACTAAGAAAAACAGGCAATGACCATTGGACAGGCGAAGAGAGAACTGCTTGTCCAAAGTAGATGACTTGAAATTCAAGTTTTTTTTTCCGCCTTCTTTTGTTTATTGTACACTATTGAAATATACAATGTAATATCAGGCAAATTAAATTGACAGCTGTACCATCCACCCTTCATTAAATATGCAACCTCTTCTAGGGGTATAGAATGGTACTTCAAAAAACATGGGTGTTGGAAAATTTTGGCCTGATCTGGAAATCCCAGAAGTGTTGATGGTTCGTGAAGTTTTGTTTTCAGGTAATTTTTGTGTCTCGGAGTCTCAATTTTTTTTCTGCTGATGGATCTCGGATTCAAGGATTTGTCATTTTTTCCTTCTATTTGATCTTCAGGAGTTGAATTTTACAGAGTTCCTGGGTGCAGCTTATTGAATTGAGCTAATAATAGCTTAAGACAGTAAAGCAAGAAGCATTTATGTATTGTTGGGCTATTGGTGTTTTCAGTCACTTTATTTAGCTTTGTTTGTACCATTATCTTGAATTTTTTTGGCGCTTAAGATCTCGGGCTTGGGTTTTTTAGAAGTCTGGACTTAGAATTGATAAAAATCTCTAAGTCTTGGTCTCAAATATTGGAACCAGGGTGTGACAGTCTTGCAAAGTCTTGAATTTACCATTCTATGCCCCTTGTACTGTATTTTAGTGGATGGTTTTTTGGTTAGGTAGATCATCTGACCACATTTAGTTCAGGTTCCAGGAAATCATACAATGTAACATTGTTGTTATTATTCCCAGCCGTTTAGCAAATGTGATTGCCCATGGCTTGTAAAGTGGATCTTAGGCTACCAGGAATTTACTTCTGACAAAGACAGAGAAAATATAGATGATAACATTAAAGAATATTTACAAGGTACAGATCTAGACAGCGAACTGTGTCATGTTAACTTCAGGTTATTATTTTTCATGATATTAATAGTCACTCAGATTATTTTCTTTGGTTTAATTGAGGACAAGAGAACATGGCTGCTTGTACTTGACAAAATGTGTTTAAATAATCACATTTTTAATAATTTTTATTGCAATAAAAGGCAAATGTTGAAATTCGTTTTGCTTCAAATATTCAAGATTTATTTACACATGATAGTACAGTATATAATAATGAATTTTAGTGAGTGAGAGTTGTTGTGTTGCAGCAGTGGTATAATAAAATTTTCCTTTCTATTTTTTTAGAATCAGTAGAATCCTCACTTTTCTTTCCATTTAATGACTTTGATGTATTATCTTGTCAGACCACTGTTTATTTTTGGCACTTTGTTCTAGGTTATTTACTCTATCAACAATATTACTATAATTATACACTGATTCCTCCCAATTTGTTAGAATCTAGTACCCCTCTTCTTGTGTTTCCTGAAGAACAAATCACTAATGGAAAAAGAGGACTCATGAAATTTAGGTAAGTGTCATAATATTATAGTAAGGTGTTCTTCCTGTTTTGGAAGGCCGGGTGTCACAAGGTTACCAAATAATCTGGAGCTTTAGCAGTGATGATGGTGACGGCAACGAGAACAGCTCAAAAAAGCAGGATTGTTAGCTTAACAAAACAACAACTCTGCACATGCATCATGCTCATGCTTTTTTGTACATGTCTTTGCTGTTGTTGCACGACTACAATGTGACACTTCCTAATTTCATGTTATATGAAAGACGTGAACACGAGACAATGATTTAATTTTTCTTTCTCTGAAATTAGATACAGTCCCTTAGAATTCAATTCCAGAAAAATTTGCCAACATTTGACAAATTGAACAAGATGGAATAAGAGCGAAGAAGTTTGAAGCAGTACGAATTCACTTTTTGTATGACGT